CCGGAGCTCAGTGAATTCCTCCTGCATCGCCAGAGTCACTCCAGGCTGGTCACCAGCGTCCCTTTCACCGCCCTGCTGCCAGCACCCGCAGGGAACCATTTTTGTGCGGTTTTATGCGTTTTATCCTTTGATTTCTGAGCTCAAAATTGGGAATAAGATCCTGTTTTTGCGGCTCTGGTGGCAACAATTTTCTCAGCTGCTATGCTCGTGTCAAAATGATTCCAATAATAAAGGAACAATATACTCATCTTCTCCATCTTATATCCATATTTCTCTGGACATCTCATTCAGTCACTCCCTTGGAATTGAGAGGAACAGTGGATTTGTCCTTACAAACAAGCTGTGGGTCTGCTGGTAGATAAAACCAGCACTGGGAGATAAAAGAAACAATGGGAAGGATTCCACTGATTGATGAATGGAAAAAGATCTTTGCTTTTACAAATAAACTTTAGGTTTGCTAACAAACGAAATTAGATATTGAAAGATGAAACAATGAGGAAGAAAAACCCCTGATTTCCACAAGAATTAAAAATGAAAAGGGAGGGTTATACATTAGAGGGAAATCTCTGGTGTCAGGCATTCTGGGCAGTCTGTACCTCTCAAGTACCTCAGCCAATGGGGAAAGAGAGAAGGGAAATGCAGCCGGGAAATTGGGATAACAAGGAGGCTGCATCCTCCAAAAATGTGAGAGATCCCAGGGGAATGCCCCATGGCCTCACCCTTTATTCCAATAAAGCCAGAAAGGACTGCTCTGTCTCCTTTTTGGACATAAACCTCTGGTGTTTGTGGATTAATTTTCCTAACAGAATCTCTTCCAAAGACCACTGATATTTCAAACAGTGTGGAGCATTTCCCATGAGCTGGGTTCCATAAAGATCCAAATTTAGGAAACTGAACTCAGGTTTCATATCAGACCTCTCAAATTTACACTAGAATGGAACCAAGAATTAAGCCCATGCAGGCTCTGGGGCATAGACACACTTGTCTGACTTTACATGTTCTATCTGAAAATATACCTAGTAGTATATTTTATATGTCTATATATTTATGTATATACTTATGTTTAGGATGCACTGATGTACAAGGCTCATAAATCCAGGTTTGTGTCCAGTTTCAGCATTTACAGATTCAGCAGAACAAAATATTTCTTTTTTTAGGGGCATTAAGATATGCATTAAAAAAAAGGGAAATGAAAATTCTTGGTCACATAGCAGTATATTGTCAGTTGTCAGAGATATATTTTATTTATATCAACAACCTAATTCAGAAATAACTGTATTGCTAATGTTTGTCCCATTCAACAGGTCTGAGAGTAAACAGATCAGTACAAGTAGATAAAGAGAGTTTTAGAGAACTGCTGCTGTCTCAGCACCAGGAAACAGAAAAAAATCCAATCCAGCTAAAAAAGGTGGGAAAGATCTGGATCCAAATCCAATCCCCTGTTTAAACTCTCAGCTAAGCTGCATTTTATTCCCTAAGTTGCAGTAATATGCTGCATAACCTGATCCATCATCTAGGATGAGGATTTTGCATGAGTGTGATTACAGTACAGAAATAATGCTGTGGTGCAAAATAAAATGTAACAACAATAGAAATTACTAATCTTTTTATAAGTATTGCACTGACTGTGTTCTTTTAAAAGTCACTAAACAAGCATTCCCTCATTATTTTTACCTTTAATTGCCCATTTTAGGAGAACAAAGATAAGGGTGGAGAAGGTAAAGCAAAGGAAGTGTGCTCAGATGCCCAGGGTAAAAAAGAAAAGCAAATAACCAAGAAAGTGCCAGAAACTTCAAACAGGACACACAGAGGTAGGTTTAATGTTTCTCTCAGAAATTCACCTGGACTTTGCAAATTACCAGAAGTTCTGGTAATTTATGTGGTTCTGAGAGCCCTTCACTGGCACCTGGCTGACATGAACTGGTTCCAAATGATGAATGAGGTGTCACTGAAAACACAGAATTGTCTGGGCTGGAAAATGCAGCTGCTGGTGGTGCTGCACTGAGAGCAGAGCTGCTCTGCAGGATGGGGCATCTCCACCCTGCTGATCTTCCTAAAGCTCAGCGTGGTAAAAATTCAGTGTTCTGTCTGTAACAGAATAATTAACAGTGTTAATCCACACTAATCAAACACTGATCTCAGAGCTGGCAATCTTCATCACTGATGTGAACCTATTTCCATGGCTGGAAAAGGAAAAGGACTGTGAGGGCTGGGAGCAATTCCTCATTAGTGATCCCTGGAAAGAGACTTTATGGAAATCTCAGCCACTGTGTTCTCATGGAAAAGTTACATGCAAGGAACTCATCTGTAAACATCTCTGTTCTGAAGAAGTTCTATAGAACAGAGGAGAGAAAAAGCCACTGCTGTTCCCTCATTCGTGTTTTTCTTTCTAGAAACATTCCTGTTACTTCCTTTAAGGCTTTTAGGAAAAGAAGAGGTCTGAGTGCCACCATTCTAAACATGTCCCAAGTGGCAGGAGACCTCCAGGTCACCCATTTGCCCAGGTGGAGCAGGTGATGCCAGGTCCCAACCCTGTAACCTGGCATGAATTAACTCCTGAGGTTTGTGCTCTGCCTTTTCAGCCTGCAGCCTTTCCAGAGCCCCCAGACAGCCAAAATCAGCCCTTGGCTTAAAATGCCCTTTTAAAAGTGACAGAAAACCCAGGTCTTACAATGCTTCCTCTGAATAATCTGTGGAATCTGAGCTTCTCTCTGATAGCAGACTTTTATTGAAGCCTTACTTGGCTTCCTTAGTTCCTGCAAGTTCTTATTTCCCCTTTAAGCTTGGATTAAGTCTCAGTTTGGGGGTACTCTGTGAGCCTCTGTAGGGCACAGGACCCGTTACAAGTCATTCCCTGCACACACATTCCTTTTCCTGCTGAAAAGTGGAGCCCCCTCATTTCCAGGTGAGAGTTCCTGTATATTCTGCTCCACACAAGCAACTCTGTTGTGAATTAAGTTACACTTAAAAGCCAGAAAGTGACAATTAAAAGTTCAGATCTCACCTGGTTTCTCTGGTGCATTGTACATGACTTTTCTGTATTTAGCCATTGCTGTACATAATGGCAGCTAAATCCATTTAACTAAATTCAACACCATGAAAAAAAGTAAAAATAAAGATACTAACCTGGATTCAGTGGCAGAATTACATTCTTTAAATCTTGCCCCATGCTGTTGGATTTATTATAGATGGTATTTGAAATACCATCAATAACAAGAATTGAAGCAGTGAAATAAGGATGTGATACTTGCTCTTTTTAAAGCTTCGTAACTCCTCATGTTCTTAAACCCTACAATATTTCAGGGGGCAAACTGCTGATGGAAGAATGCAAATTTTCAGAATTTATTAAAGAAATGGAAAAAGAGACAGAGGTTCTTAAACAGGAGTTGAAAACTCTGATGAAATCTGAACGAAGTCCTCAAAGAGTAAAAAAGAACAATCAAGAGGGAGAGGCAGTGGAAGAGGTTGAAAAAGAAGAGAAAAAAACCCATGAGCAGCAAAAGAAGAAAGCCAGGAGTGAAGGTCCAAGTCCAAGCAAAGACCCCACCAGGCTGAAAAAAAAATACATCTTCTCAGGGGCTGTTGAGAATTTACACCAAGGGCTCCACACTTCAGGTGCCAAAAGCAAAGCAGGATTTGGGAAAAGCTGCCTGAGCAGCCAGAGACAGGCAGGGCAGAGCTGCAGTGACACTGCTGTGCCCAGGGGGAAAATCTCCTTTGGGGCTTATGAGCCTTCCTTTGGGCAAACCCCCCCGGGCTGGCAGGACAGCAGCTCTGCAGTGGAAGGAACAGCTGATGGAGGAGCAGCTCTCTGGGGAGGAATGTTTGCAGGGAGGAAACTCCTGGAGTTCCAGCAGCACAAGGGTGAAGGCAGGCAAGTGAGGGGGGCAAGGCAAACCCCAAACTCCATGCCAGGCTCCAACTCTCCTCGTTAAAACCAGCTCCAGTTACTCCACACTTACTCCTCCTAGCTTACCTTTAGAAAGTTTAAACATTCACATTGTTACAAAGCAAATCTTTTCCTTTCATTCAATGTTTATTAAACCTTACAAGCACTGGCAATTGCTCTCCATGATTTTTTTCCAAAACAATCCAATCAGCTGTCACAAAAACCACATTCTGTGCTTGGTGTGTATCCACAAAAATATGTTCCACTAAGAATTGCCTATCATTTTTACCTGTTACCAGGTAAAATTTAGTCCTTGTTTAGGAACTTGCAGGTTGTTGCATTCCCAAGGAGCTGGAATTTGGGAGCTGGGTGTTTGTCACTTGCTGACATGAGCACCCAGCTTTCATAAGGGTCACTGCTGGGTGAGCACCAACAATGCAATAAAAGAAAACACTTTTTTAGTTCCTTCACTCCCCAAACAGCTTCCAGAATTCACAGATAATAAAAATCATTTGCTCCTACATTGTTTTCACGAGCATTAGAAACCTCTAAAGCCTCATTCTTTCCCTCTGTTGGAACTTATCAAAGCAGTTTGCCTGGTAACTTCCCCAGCTGCCATGCAGAGATGAATGTGCAAGAGCAAAGCATTGTTTTGGAGAAGTCAGGCATAGCCAGTCCCCAAAAAGCCTCTAAAAATCCTTGTTTAAGGTTATGTAAGCGAGGGGGAGGATTGTGGTTTGTTCCTCACACTAATTTATTAAATACTGGCTAAATTCAAGTGAAGTTCAGAAAAATTAGGGGCATTCTGTTAATTTTTAAAGGCAGTTGCACTTTAAAAAATGTCCAAAATTACACTACAAAAGTTTTTAAAGATGACAAAGACATTCAGAGCTGAACCTGTTGCAGCAACATTTCAAATAATTAAAAAAATTATTTAGTTGAGTTGCTTCAAACAATATTTCCTTATGCACAAAGACAGGGGCTGTTGCTTTGGCATGGATTTTGGTGAGTTTGGGGTTTGTTTTGTCATTTTGGGTTTGTTTATTTGGGGTTTTTGTGGGTTGTTTAGGAAAGCTGCAGTTAACATTAAAAAGAGATGAAAAAACCTAAGATGGGTTGAAAAGCTTTATTTCCTTAATAAAATCACAATTTTACATAACATTCAATCACAATATTTTTTCCTTGATATTTATTTTCATGTAGGCTAAATGCAATTCCTAATATAAAATCCCAATTTTTAAATTAACATTAAAACAAATAAACAAAAATATTTAATCCATATATATATATACACACAACACAACCTGACCTTTTGAACAATTTTGGAGGGGTCCTGGCCCCTTCCTTCCCTTCCTGCAGGGAGGAAAAGGCCCTGGAATAGCAGAGGGGTCATTCCTGTGGGAATTCCAGAGTGAGAAGCTCCATCAGCATCCCCCCTGCAGGAACAGCACTGTTTTCTGCTTCACTGAGAGCAGCCTGTGCTTGGCAGCTGAAAAAAACCTCTTGAGAGATAAAAATCTTGATTTAACTCATCTATTTTTTTAGGAGAGTTCAAGAATATTCTGATTTCAGGGTAAAAAATCCAAAGGAAATTCTCTTTTGGCCCAAGTCAAGCAAACAACCTCTGCCTGTGCACCCCCCAACATGATCCCACCTCAGGGTGAAGCTTCCACATTTCACAGCAAAGGAACAGCCAAGCTCCCAAATTAATCCCTAAAGCCAGCACATTTCCAATTTAAAACCACAAATCCAACACTTTTAGATGTTGCTGACAACAGGCCATGACAAAACCTTATGGTTCTGCCATGACTAAACCCAAAATGAGGTTTTATAATAACCAGCAGTGCTGTTCTTTCCAAAATGAAAGACAAACTCTGGGAAAAGTGAAACCAAAAGAATCCAAAGGACTGAGAGATATCCACCTGGAGTAACAAGGATTGTCTCAGACCTTGTCTCATGAAAGATAACTGTCCCTTTTTTTTTTTTTTTAATTAATTTAAACCAGTGATGATGTAAATGCAGCTGGGGAGTCCCTGGCTTGCTGGGATTCCTTCAGCTGAAGGGGTGCAGCATGATGGCTACAACCTTATTGCAGACCACCAGCCAGCAGGTGATTCCCACACCTCCTGCAAAAGAGGGAGAAAAGCACAATTGAAGTTGTTGGATCAATAACTCTGAGGAACCTGTGCAGCTGCAAACAACCTTGGAAGTGTAAAAAATTAAATTCAGAACTCATGAGGCCAACAGGAACGAAAATCTTTGTATACAAAAGGGAGATACAAGAATTGGGAGGAAAATCAGTGCTGGTTGCAAAAAATTCTGGATTGTCTTGGGAAAAGAGCACCAAATACACAAATAAGAGCTCAAGTGTGGTGATGCACCCCAGAGCTAAAACCATCTGCTACACACCCAAGAGAAAATATCTCATTTTAAGGCCTGGCAGAATGCTTTGCTTGAACCTAAATTCAGGATTTGAGAGATGTAAAAAGTAAATGTCCTCTGAAATTGAAATCAGTTGTTTTGTAAGCACATAGCAATTCACAGCACACCTGTGAATAAAACTCCCTTTTGGGTGATTTTCTGATTTTCTAATTTAAATCTTCCCCAGGATCTATTCAATACAGAGAAGGGCAATGCTCTGTTTGGGTGGAAATAAAAATGATAAAATTCTACGAGCACTTCAAGAAACCAGAACCACACATGGAAGAGCTGCTGAAAGACTTGAAGCTGTGCTCTGGGAGTCAGGGAAGCAGCTACAGTTAATCCCTGGATGCTCTGGGGCTGGCCATGTCCCTTTCCTCACCTGCCACTCCTGTAGGGAAGGCCACCAGGCGCTCCAGGGGAGCCAACCACTTGCTTGGAAGCACGGTGACAGGCTCAGAGTAGTACTTCCAGATCAGAGAGATCATCAGGGCAGCCTGGAATGGGAATGCTTTTATCACTTTGGATAGTAACACACACCAAATACATTGCCAGTGCTATCTGGAATTGTTTCTTTGTTATCTCCTTCAAAATGTTTTTAGATTTTGTATGACCTTAAATTTAAACACAGTATTAGGAGGTTGCAGGGGGATCTTTCTTTCAAGATCCTCTTTTCAATCCAGCAGAGTCAAACACAGTCATAGCATTTGTTAAAATTCTGATGACCCTTTTTAGCCTGAATTTTTGCCTACAAGGAGTTCAACTCATTTTAACAGTCCCCTAAGGAAATCTTCAGGCTGAGCACTGCCATCCTTGTTTAGCAAATTCTTTGGCATCAGTCAGAACTACTCAGACAATCTGATGAGGCACCATGGGGAAATGTGTGGCAGCTGGAGGTGCAGAATTGCATCCTCAGCAGAAGTGTATTTTGGTTTCAAAGCCAGAATTATATTTACATATAACAGAACCTTCCTTGATTTGGGGCCATATATTAAAAAAAAACCCCAGTGATTAAAGAGCTAAGACAAACTCCAATCTTGTCCCCTCAAAACCACAAACACAGAGTTGAGATGAAAGTTAAACTCCTTCCATCCTCAACTACCAGAATGTATCATCATTTCCCTTCCAGTTCCAGAAACTCTTTCTGTCTGCCAAGCTCTGTGTCCTTGGAATCACAGAATGGTTTGGGCTGGAAGGAATTTAAAGATCCTCCAGTGCCACCCCTGCCATGGCAGGGACACCTCCCACTGTCCCAGGCTGCTCCCAGTCCCAGTGTCCAACCTGGCCTTGGGCACTGCCAGGGATCCAGGGGCAGCCCCAGCTGCTCTGGGCACCCTGTGCCAGGGCCTGCCCACCCTCACAGAGAAGAATTTCTTCTTCATATCTGATCTAAACCCGCAATGTTTCAGTGTGAAGCCATTCCCTGTGTGCTGTCCCTGCATCCCCTGGAAATTGTCTCTCTGCAGCTTTCCTGGGGCTCCTGCAGGCCCTGCAAGGCCACCCTGAGCTCAGCCCAAAGCTTCTCCTGTGCAGGTGAACAATCCCAGCTGTGCCAGCCTTTCCTCCCAGCAGAGCTGCTCCATCCCTCTGCCCATCCTGGAGCCTCCTCTGGGCTCTCTGCAGCAGCTCCAGCTCCTCCCTGGGCTGGAGGAGCCCTGAGTGACCAGATACAGGCCAATAAAGCAGGAGAGAATTGTAACACTACTGAGCATTTGGGTTAAGTTGCATGCATAACAAAATATTGACTTACCTGCAATATGTAGAATACAATATTTATGACCCACTTTATTTTGGCCAATTGGGCAGTTCGTGCTTTCACTGTTAAAGAAAAAGAAAATATTAATTTCCATTGCTTATAATAATGAATTATAATTACATTAAATTAGTAATTCTTTAATATTTCACTCTTTAAGGCTGGACATTACCCTGTTTAAAAATCTCTTTCCAAATGACTTATAGCTATATTAAAAACACCCTTTTACAACAAACTGCCAGCTCTGTATCACACTGTAATTTCTACCTTGACTTCTCAAAACAGGATTCAGTGATGGGCAACACTGAGAAAGAATAAAAAATTACACAGTGAAGCCCAGGAAATTCCTGGAAAGACACAGGTAAGATTTTCAAATAGTTTAAAGAGGAAAAAAAAAGGAGAGGGAGAGAGAGAAAGAAAGAGAGAAAGAGAGGAGAGGAAAAAGGGAAAGAAAGGGGAGGGGAGAGGAGGGGAGGAAAGGAAAGAGGAAAGAGGAAAGGGGGAAGGCAAGTTTGAAGGATAAATACTTAAAGCTGAAAATGCTCTTGGCAGCTTTTCAGAAACAGAAAATGTTTTTCCTTGTGGAGCAGGAGCAGCCATGGCACTGTACCGTGGGTTTTGAGCTTGTCTGTCATTTTGTTGATCTTCCTCTCCAGCCGGGCATATCTGGCAAACTCGTCCATCATGCTGATGGTGGCAAGCTCCTGCTTCATGGTCTGGATCTCAGCTCTCATCTGGGACTCCTGCTCTGCATCCTTCTGCAGCAGCCTGGATATCTGAGAAGTGAAGGAAATGATCAATTCCTGGTCCAGGATCCCACTGATTCGCTTTAGTGTGTATAAAGTATGATCTCAAAAGCTTGCCATAGAAAAGGCCCTTTCACTGAGATGCAGGAAATCCTTGGGTGACAGGAGAACAAGTGACAAGATTACATGAAACAGCCTCAAGCTGGATTCAATGATCTTGAAGGTTTTTTCCAGTTTAAATGATTCTGTGATCATTTCCAGCTCCAGCAGCCAAGTATTCCAACATTTTCTCCCTTCCTTTTACTTTCCTAATTTCTTTTCTTGAGGCACCACCTGCTTGTTGGTTCATGAACTCTGTTTGCCATAGAAATGCAGGCACAAAAGGACACAAAATCTTTTTCTTGCTGTTCCTTAGCAAATCTTCCAGCTTCCCCAAGACACATGTAATTTATTTCCCCATGGATGCTGTTCTCAGGCCTGCAGACAGTGAGAGCATTAACACCATCTTCAGCCTCAAACCACAGCAGAAGGCTGAGCAGAGATCTTCAGAGAATCTTAGAATATCCTAAGTTGGAAAGGACCCACAAGGAATTGAGTCCCAGCCCTGTCTCTGCCCAAACCCCCCAAAATCCCCCCCTGGGCATCCCTGTCCAAAGGCTCCTGGAGCTCTGGCAGCCTCGGGGCCATCCCCATTCCCGGGCAGTGCCCAGCACCCTCTGGGGGAAGAACCTTTCCCTAAATCCAACCTAAATCCCTCCTGGCCCAGCTGCAGCTGCTCCCTGGCTGCTGTCCCTGTGCCAGAGCAGAGACTGGAGCTGTCCCTCGGGAGGAGCTGCAGATCCCAATCTCAGCCTCCTGCAGACTGAAGGAACCAAATGCCCTCAGCCTCTCCTCAAATGGCTCTTTCATCACTCATCTCTAGCAACACTGAGTTCAGCTTCCCAAACTGCTGACGGTGATTTAGGGTTTAAAGGATTTTTGTCCATTTTGAACAATGCACACTGATCTCTGTACCAGTGAAGTTATTTCCACGGCAGAGCAGATCTACAGGGATTTCAGCATCTTTGTACACATGTGAGTTTATCTGGCAGTCACAGAATTTATTTGTCCTCAATTCCATTATCCACGCTTCCACAGGAATGCTTCAGATCAGAACAGGGGCACCCTGATCAGATTATTGAGATTTATTCCTACAATGACTTAACTCCTTAATCTCCGTATCCACTGATCTCCCATCTCAACAATGGGCACGTCCATCTGTTGAAAACACGCAAGACTGAGCAAAGCTGTCCTTCCTACCCCAAAAACTGGGAAGCTGTGGCTGCCCCATCCCTGGAGGAGCTCAGGAGCAGCCAGGACGGGGCTCTGAGCAGCCAAGCCCGCGGGAAGGATCCCTGCCCACGGCAGGGGGGTGGGAACGGATCATCCTTAAGGTTCCTTCCAGCGCAAACCATTCCATGATTCCGCGATGCATCCCAAGGGCTGGAGGCTCAGGAGCACCACTGAACACAGCGGTAACTCATCCCGCAGAAACCGGGGCTACGCTCCAGCACCTCCAGCACCAGCTTCTCTTCTGCAAGGCCGGCAGCACGACCAGACCCCGCCCGTCCCCGCCGGGACCCCGGCACCGCTCCCCCCTGTGCTGGGAGAACCCCTTAACGCCCCGCCGGCTCCCTTCCCAGCCATCCTCCCGTTTCCCCCACCGGCGCCATCACTCACGAGGGAGGAGCAGGAGGGCAGCAGGATTTTGAGCGCGTTGCAGAGGAACACGGCGCTGAGCACCAGCAGCCAGGCGCCGCTCTCCGCCATGGGCCCCGCGCCGCCGCCTCACAGCGCCGGCCTGAGGGCAGGCGGGGTCGCGCGCGCGGGGCACGTGAGGCGGGCGGGCCAATGGGGAGGCGGTGCGCTCGGGCGGGGCGGGGCGCGCGCCGATCCGGCTGGATCCTGTTGCGGCGCCGCTGGCACTGCTGGGATGGGGAGGGGGGCGGCGGCTCCGCTGCGCAGCCGGGCTGGGGCGCGCAGGCGGCCGCAGCAGCAGCGCTCGCTCGCAGCAGCAGCCGCGCCACACGAGCAGCCGCAGCCGCGGGGGTCGCGGCCCGGAGCGTCGAGATGCCCAAGAGGAAGGTGAAGGCGGGCGGCAGCGAGCGGAGCCGCCGGGAGGGCACGGCCGGGGGCGCGTGGGGAGCGGGCTCGGCGGGAAGCGGCCGCGCCGCGGGCTCCGGTTCAGCGGGCGGTACCGGGGGCCGGCGCCATCCCCTTGTGCCGGGGAGGGGGCAGGGCGTGTGGGAGGGAGGCTCGGGGGGACTCGGCGGGACTCGCGGTCCGGGAAGGGGCGGGCGGGGGCCGGGGCCGCCCCGCTCGCTGACGCGCTCGGTGTGTTGCAGGTGACGGTGGCGGACGGGGACGCCCCTGAGGAGGTAAGGAGCGAGCAGGGCGGCGGGGCAGGCGGGGCTGCCCGGCCCGCCCGCCCCTCACGCCCTTCTCTTTCTGTCCCTGTGTCCGTCCGTGTGTCCCCCGCAGCCCAAGCGGCGATCGGCGCGGCTCTCCGCGGTAAGTGCCGAGCGGCGGGGCCCTGCCGGGATGGGCGGGAGGCCGTGCCCGGGACGGGTCCCCGAGGGCCGGATCCACGCCTGACTTATTCTCTCTCCTCAGAAACCCGCGCCTGCCAAAGCAGAGCCGAAACCTAAAAAGTTACCGGCGAAGGTGAGAGTGAATTGGAAAAGGGAAGGGAGAGGAGGTGGTGCCTGGGGCTATCCCGCGTGGTGTCCTCGGTGCATCGTGCTGGAATGGTTTTATTCCTTGTGGGAACTTGGCTGAAGTGTTGTTTTGATGTGCTTTTGCCAGTATTTACAGGTACATTCCACCACCGTGGCTGTAGAGCCTTGCTAAGCTCCAGGCATTGCACGGAAGTGTGGGCACGGATCCATGCGTGTTACATCGTGGGTTGGTATTGGGTGGAACTTACCTGACTGTCACAGCGACTGTGTTAGGACATCAGGTGGAATTTCTTCACAGAAAGGCTGGGCAGGCATTGGAAAAGCTGCCCAGGGAGGGGGTGAAGTCACCATCCCTGGAGGTGTCCAAGGATAGGCCGGGATGTTGTTTGCTCTGCTCTGGTTGCCAGGGTGGTGCTCAGTTAAAGTTGGAGTATCTTGGAGGACTTTTCCAAACGGAATGATTCTGTGCATAGCGTTGTATTTCCTCTGTGGAACAAGGGGGGATAAAACACACCTACTGATGTTTTCAAGCAGCGTGTTAGGACAGGGAAAAAATTGTTTTAGCCACTCAAAAACCTCATGAACTTCCATTAATGTGGTCAAGCTTTCAGGTGTTTGTATGTAAGAAAGTGGCTTTGTATGATCTTTGAATTTTTCAGCACAGCTTTCACAGTGAAAATAAGTGAGGTGTCAAATTCTTTGCTTTTTGGGAGAATTAAAAAAGGCTTTGTGTCTTTTGGCTTGCTGCTGTTTGTGTTGTTAAGTGTTCCTTTGTCATCTTAAGCTTTTCTTAGTGATGTGTTGATTAAAAGCTTTGGGGTGACCTCATCGTGACCTTTCAGTACCTGGAGGGAGTTGGTAAGAAAGATGAGGAGAGACAATCTCCAAGGGCTGGAGTGACAGGGAATGGCTTCTAACTGCCAAAGGGCAGGGCTGGATGGGATATTGGGCAGGAATTGCACCCTGTGAGGCTGGGCAGGGGCTGGGATGGAATTCCCAGAGCAGCTGGGGCTGCCCCTGGATCCCTGGCAGTGCCCAAGGCCAGGTTGGACACTGGGGCTTGGAGGTGTTGGGGATTGGATGAGATGATCTTTAAGATCCCTTCTCAGCCCAAACTCTTCTGTGATTGTCTAATTTCAGATAAACTCATCATCTGTGCAGACTTCCTGATGTTTTCATTGCATTAATCCTCTTGAGCAGTAACTGATGAGGAACCCACCTTCATTCTGGTGGTTTGAGTATCAGTGTGTTCCCACTCTCAGGGCTGTAAGCCCAAAGAATTTGGGGAAGCTTTCCAATGCTACTGAGTTATAATTTCCTTTTTGTTTGCAGTGTCTGTGATGCATCTGCACTTACTGCTGCTCATTGATGTTGACTGACATGTGTGATACAGATTTTCTGCTTATAGCTACTTCAAGCTATTAATTAACAGTCAAAGCTTTTTTTATTTGATTCATCAAAAAAACACCCTTTTTTGCATCAACTTTGTCAGTTTTTAAAACTTTCCTCAGTTTTTAAAACAATCCTCAGTATTTTTTTCTACTTGTGAGAAGTTTGCTCATTATGGAGCTACTTAGTGGGCTTTTAAAATAAATATTAATGAAGAAAAATATATTTTGGCATTTGAGATATAGAAGTCCGTGTGTTGCAATTCTGAATTGTATGTAATTCTATGTAATTCTGAATTCTATGTAATTCTGAAATATAAGTGGGTGATCAGGAGTTGTTGGTAGCTTAGCAAATCTATCTTTGTTTTGTGGTTTTTATTGTTTTCAAGGTTTACCTGGAAGGTCATAACAATTGACTTACTGGAAATGTATTTCATTGTAGGATAAATCTGAGGACAAGAAAGCTCCATCCAAGGGGAAGAAGGGGCCTAAAGGAAAACAGACAGAAGAGACAAACCAAGAGCAGACAAAGGACAACCTGCCTGCAGAGAATGGGGAAGCTAAAACTGAGGAGGTGAAGTTTGGAGGGCTGGGTTTGGGTTTTGCTGTTATTGAGAAGTTGGGGTGTTGGGTTTTTTTTTTGCTACAAAATTTTCTTGACAAATGAAATATTCCTTTTCTTGGGTCTGGAAAGAGTCTTGAGTGAAAACCCAGAGTTGCAAAGTTGAGGTGCCATTGACAGACCCTGCTGGGAGAAGGGACAGGTTGGTGCAGGGACAAAGTACAACAATTAATGAGTTGTTGCTGTGCCAGGTGAGTCTTGGCTGCACCACAGTGCCAGAGTGGCTGAACTTTTTGGAGTCATGGCTCAGGTCACTTGGAGCATCCTGCACTCTGTACTGCACTCCTGCAATGCAGACATAGTTACAAATTCACACCCAGATCTGCAGGGATGAAACACAAGTGTGGGAATAATGGGCCTGGGCTTGGTGTCAGGTCTCTGTGACAAACATTTTCAGGAGTTCAATGGAGTATTTTGGTTCTTTATTTTGGTTTGGTTTTGGTTCAGTGGAATATTTTGGTTTTTATTTGGGAAGGTACAGTGAGCAGGAGGTACTTCAGTGAGCAGGAGGATTTACTCTGGGATAACAGTTTGTCATTTGCAAGCTTCCAGTGTGAAAAAGTTGTGCTCTAACTAAAGAGTTCTTCAGCTGAGTCAATTTTTGGCATTATTGCAGTCTTTTAATTTGTGCTTGTAAAGTTTCAGCAGTGGAACCAAATTTGGCAGCATTCCCACCTGGAGTCCCTTTAGTTCACTTGTGCAGAGATTATGTAAATTTACAAGGAATGGATGATGATTGGTCACACACCCAAAATTCCAGGTGTAATTTTATACCAAAGTCCAGAAGAGGCAGAGTCTGTCCTGTGGGATGTTATTGTTTGCTAAGAATTCAAACAGGGTTAAGATTTGAAGAATATTTGAAGTGTGGCACTGAAATTTAAAGTCATCAAGTGTTACCTCATGGATTTTCTAAACACCTGATAGGTATTGTGTAAAAGCTGAAGTTTTTTCTGTCATGAAGGCAGTAATGCAATTAAAATTAAAATGCTTTGCAGTGTGTGTTTAGTAACAAATCAACATCCTGAAATCCATCCTGGTGATTCCAAAAAGCCTTTTTGTGAAGCTTGGTTTAGCAGGTCATGATCCAAGAGAAATCTGCAAGAACGAGTCAGGGTTATTCTGTGCAGGGTTTAATGTGCATTAAAACCACTCCAAACTAATCAGAGCCACTAAAAACTTCCTGCACTGAATTGTTCTGGTTTTTTTTCCCCTTTTCAGACCCCAGCACCTGATGCAGCTGCAGAGAAAGAAGTGAAGTCTGAGTGACACCTGCTCCCACATCTGGAACTGGTGGTCCTTAAACCTTTCTTCTTGTACAATTCAGAGGAATATTTTTATCAACTATTTTGTAAATGCAAGTTTTTTAGTAGTTCTAGAAAACACGTTTTTAAAAAGGAGAGAATCCCAACTCAACCCATTTTTTTACATATTTAGATAAGTGTAAATGCTTTTTTTAAGTGGTAAAATCATGTACTGGTTGTCTGTTTTCTATGAAACCAGAAATTAACAGTGTGTTAATTAAGGAGAGGGCATTGAGGCCTTGATTAAGCCTCACGTTCCACAGACTCCAAGGGACAGTTTTCTATCCTATAAAATGAAGCATAGCACAGATCAGACTTTGGAATTCATAATGATGTGTTGAGAATGTCTTAACATTTTAGTTATTTATCTTTCTCTATGGTTGTACCATCAGTAGAATTGCTTATCTAATAAAACTGCTCCCTAGTGCTGGATTCCTTGCTGAGTGATGTATATCAGTGACAAAGTTATTTTTGGTAGTTGCAGCTTTATTTTTTTCCAACAACTTTGTAGCTGTGATGCAAAAGATTGGAAACTTTGATTTTATATCTTTAAATACTGTCTTAAGTAAAAGTTTCTGCTTGGCAGATGGAACTTGTTATGTCAATATTTGAGATACTGGAACTTCACATCTAGTTTTCAAGGACAGCTTGTCTACAAAGATTGAGTGAAAAATATTTGAAATAGTGCTAGAAAAAAAAATTAGTTTTTAGATTAAAAAAAGCTGTGTGAATAAAAACAATTGTAAAATTGTTGATAGTGTTTGTGATCACCAAACAAAAGCCAAATAAATCTTGATTATGAAAGGATGTTTCCATAGCTCCTGTATTGACTGTGAACTCATAATCTGAGTGCTGTGGTTTGGGTTTGTAACTGTGTCCTTCAGAGTGTTTAAAGTTGTACTTTTCAGGAGATGGGTGGCAGTTCAGGGACTGCAGAATTGCAGTGTTGGTCTAAACTTGCAGTTTGAAAGCCGGGAGCTTTGTGCTGCTGCTGTTTGCTTTTAAAAAAGTCAATAATGAGTGAGTGTCAGATGCCAGCCAGACAACTGCCACCTTGTCCTGGGAGGAGCCAAGCTCAAACACTAACACTTTGTTCTTTGTTGGGTTTTTTTTCCTCTTACCCCAGAATTTGTTTATGCTCCTAAGTAACACCTGCAAGCCCAGTCCCTGCTTCCTGTACATTTTTAGTGCCTTTTTCAAATTGTTGCAGTTATTTCTAAAAAAAGCCACTTCAGTTTCACCTCTAATTTGCTTTCTTAATCAATATTCTCATTCTCAGAAGAATTTTACCATTTTTACCATTCAATACTTTAGCAATCTTTAACTTTTTTATAGGAAGCCTCCCAGCCTTAGAGCCCAACCTGCTCCTGTTCCATTCCTCACAGAGCACACCTGGCTTTGGCTTCAAGTTCTTGGATATTTCAAAATTGGAAATTGATGCCACTTTTCTAACTCACTTCCCCCAACATCCCCCTCCTATTTGTTGGTTTAATTTAATAGTAACAAGATTTATGATATTATTTACTCTCTGGTTTTGGCAAGCTCAACCGACCAGTTAAATAAGTAATAAACTTTCAGGTAAATCCCCTAAAATAACCACTCATCCCTGCTTTTACACAGTGTCTGTTTTTCATGTGTTTTGGGTCTCTGGTGCTGTGATCCTGTGCACTTTCAGCATGTCCCTCACATCTATCACCCACTGCTTAATTTATTGTAACTTCTCAATATTACTCTGTCCTGTGTGATACCAGATTTATTTGCTCTTCAGCTAAGGACTGGAGTGAGAGCTGATGCAGATTTGAATCCAATAGAGCACAATCTGATCCAAAATACAACAGCAGGAGAACAAAAAACAAAACTTCTTTCTTGTAACATACTCTGTTGTCTTTGTATATTACTAGTAATTGTTTGGGTTAAGTGAATGAGACATAAAAGTAATTTACTCCAAGGTTCTAAAAATGCATTTTAAGGTACCAGAGGTGGGGAATGAAATAGGCAAAGACCTTGGATTTAAAATGTAACACGAGTGCAGCCATTGCTGTTTTTATCAGCGTTCATGCTGGGCATGGCTGGGAAACAGCTGTGGGAAAGAAAGAAGATAAAGGATGGTTTGGGTTGGAAGGGACCTGAAAGCCCATCCAGTGCCACCCCTGCCATGGCAGGGACACCTCCCACTGTCCCAGGCTGCTCCAGCCCCAGTGTCCAACCTGGCCTTGGGCACTGCCAGGGATCCAGGGGCAGCCCCAGCTGCTCTGGGCACCCTGTGCCAGGGCCTGCCCACCCTCACAGGGAGGAATTTTTTCCTAAAATCTGAACTTTTCAGTAAATTTTCAGTGTCCTGTCCCTGCATGCCCTGGAAATTGTCTCTCTGCAGCTTTCCTGGGGCTCCTGCAGGCCCTGCAAGGCCACCCTGAGCTCAGCCCAAAGCTTCTCCTGTGCAGGTGAACAATCCCAGCTGTGCCAGCCTTTCCTCCCAGCAGAGCTGCTCCATCCCTCTGCCCATCCTGGAGCCTCCTCACAATTCGATGTCCTGGCTCCCAAAATCCTGCCTCCAGGAGCCAGGCTCGAGGTGGCACAGGCATGGGGGCAGAGCTGTTTTTTTTTGGCTCAGTGATGCCAGAGGAGCAGAGCTGTGGTGTGGGAAATGCCCCTCTCCAAGCTGGTGTTTGGGGATGCCCAGGTGCCCCCCTGCAGCCCGCACGGGGCTCTGCTGTCACAGCAGAGGCTGGGCCAGCCCTAAACTCTGACAGGGACACGGCATTGATGCTCCCAAATCCCTGCAGGCGTGGCACACACTGGGCACCACGCGGCGCAGTGCACTTTGAATCACATTATCACAAAATCATTTAGCTTTGGAAACACCTCTGAGATCATCGAGTCCAACCTTTGACTGATCAACCCTTTGTCAACGCCCTACTTCCAGTCGTTCCTTGAACTCCTCCAGGAACGGGGACTTCAACACCTCCCTGGGCAGCGCATTCCAATGTTTAATCACACTTTCAGCGAAAAAATTCTCCCCATGTCCCACCTGAGCCTGCCCTGGCCCAGCCTGAGGCCGTTCCCTCTGCTCCTGTCCCTGTGCCCTGGGAGCAGAGCCCGACCCCCCCGGCTGTGCCCTCCTGGCAGGGACTTGTGCAGAGCCACAAGGGCCCCTGAGCCTCCTTTGCTCCAGCCTCAGCCCCTGCCCAGCTCCCTCAGGGATTCTCCAGCCCCTTCCCAGCTCCGTTCCCTTCTGTGGATAAGCTGAAACCCCTCGATATCCTCGCAGTGAGGAGCCCAGAGCCGCACACGGCAAAGGCCCTGGCCTGGCGGCACACGGCGTCCGCTCCGTCACTGCATCGCCCCCATGAACCGGCTCTCGGTGCCTCGCCGCGGGTCCCGGGAGGGCTGTCCCGGGCTAGGAAGGCCGAGACAGCGGCGGTAGCACCGCCGTTCCCGGGGCCGAGCGGAGCAGCGCCGCGGCCGCCGCCGCCTCTCCCCCGCCACCCCTCAGCGCTGCCGCCTCGCCGCGCTCAGCCCCGCCCCCGGTGCGCGTCACCGCCGCCTTCCTCGCGCGATCCTTCCGCGCCTCCGCCTCCCCTTCTCCTCACCCGCCGCCTTCCCCACCATCCCCCCCGCCACCCACCCCGCTTCCCTTCGTGTATATTCCCCGCGGCCACACGCCTTCACCGCTGTTCCCTCGGCGCGCTCGAAGCGCCCGGTACTTCGGGAACTATTTTACGCCGCCCCCCCGCGGGCGCTCCTGGCGGAGGTGTCGACGGCGGCTCCGTGGCGGGTGGTGCGGCGGCGATGGCGGCGGCGCCGCCGCCGAGGCTGCGCTGAGGGGGGAGAGGGAGGGAGGGAGCGCTGAGGGGAGCGGGGGGAGCGGCCGTGAGGGGAGGGAGGGAGGAGGGGAGGCGCTGACAGCGCCGTGCCGAGCCGGGCCCGCCGCCCTCAGCCCGCCATGGCCGAGCCTGCGGCCTCTTCCAGCTCCGGCGCGTCGCTGCCGCTCATTGAATCAGGTAACACCGCGGGCCGGGGTGAGGAGGTGCCGCCGGTGCCGCCATCTTCCTGCCCCCCCCTAAGGATGGGTCACGGCCGCCCCCCGGCTCATCCCCCGTGTCTCTTGCCGTGTCTCTTACAGAGCTTTACTTCCTCATCGCCCGGTTCCTGAGCACCGGGCCCTGCCGGAGAGCGCTGAAGGTGAGTGCGGGGCTCACCGGGCGCGGGCACCCCGCGCTGCCCGCTGAGGGCCGGGGGAGGTGGGAGCAGCCGCGCCCCCCGCTCTGGGGGAGCCGGATCGTGCCTTGTCCCTGACTTTGTGTTTTTCCCCTTTCCCTCTGCAGGTGCTGGTGCAGGAGCTGGAGCAGCACCAGGTCTGTGTGGGCTCTGATGAAATCTTGCTGTAGTCAAAAGTTTCCTTTGCAAGTCATTCAAGTTTCTGCCGCTGTCTCAACTTTTCCCCCCCTCGACACACATTGTTTTGGATGTGGTCTGTAATCCCTCCTTTCCCCTTTAACCGCTCACGGTTTTTCTGTTTGTTTTTCCTTTATTTAGTTGCTTCCCAAAAGGTTGGATTGGCAAGGAAATGAGCATTATAGGAGTTATGAAGAATTGGTGAGACTTTTCTCTTTAAAAAAACCCCTTTTATTTACGGTGATGACATTGATGTTAGACCCCCTCTACCTTTAAGAGCAGGCCCAAATCTTCACCTTCCTGTACCATCCTGCCTCTGAACACTGGAATTACTTTAGAAAGGGCCTGTAATTTCTTTACATCAGACTAACAAAAACACAAGCGGTGGTTTAAATTGAGGATATTGTTTACATAGCAGAGGTGGAGCTTGGCGTTGTGCAGTGGTACATGCCACTGCCTACATGCAGGCAGGAGCCAATCTCCAGCGAGGTTTCATTTCGGAGTTTCAGGGACCAGGTTGTGAGGCACGTTGTGATTTGTCGGTATTTATTTTCTGGTTGGTTTCTTTCAGCCCCCTCCAACAGATTAGGAAATGAAATCGCTGTTCAGAAACCGAGGGTTGGCACTTTGTGGTGACTGTGAATGTGCTCACATCGCTGGCTCCTCGCTGGTCATGGCGTTGTTTCTAAAGTGCTGCAAAGATGGGGATGATCTCTCCACAAAATTTACTTTCTTCCCTTCCTCGACTGGTGTGGTGTGTTCTGAATTGTTTCTTACAGAAGGCAGAGCTGTGTTTTGGGGCTTAATTTTGCTGCTTCTTAAGTGGCAGAGAGTTTGAATGCCAGTGGGTGATGGCCTGGTGGTGCCTGCCCTGCTCTGTGTGGTTTTTATCCTGCTTTATTTTATTTGATAGTGTTTTCTTTAAAGAGTTGTTTGTCCTTGCGTTTTCCCACCTAAGGCTCAGGCATTTCGGGTTAATTGACTGATTGTTGCTGTGAACTCCCTCTTGTGAAGCACTTAAAGATCTCAGGATCACATTTGCATAGAGAAGGAATGAAGTGTTGTTTAAAACACTTTCTTAATTATGTGAGCATTGCTTGAAATGATAAGTGTGATTCCATTTCTTATATTTGTCCTTGTGGTCAGTTGAGCAAGGAAGGTTTTAGATTAGTTTTTTTAAGTCACTAAGAAGCCTGGCCTTGCTAAACAGGAATATTTTCAAGCTCTGACTTGAATTTAGGCAAGATGAAAGTAGGATTAAGCTTAGAAAGAATTGTTGGGAGGTTTTTTTTGTTGCTTCATTGTTGATTTCTTACCCCATTTGTTCTGGCAAAAAGCAGGGTGTTGGGAGATCCCATGTGTGTGTTTTTCTGATTTCAGGGCTGCTTTTTAACTGTGATTATTCTGCATATACAAGTGTCAAACTAATTCTTCAACATGTGCTGCTTCTACTTCTTTCTTCCTGCACAATTTAAAGGAAATCTCTGCTCAGGGCAGTAGTGTTTCAGAACATCTAAATTCATCTTCTCAGAGTTTTAGTTTCTGTTTTTTCAGGGGCTCTGGGAACCTCTTGTCCCCCTGGTCTCACTCTGAATTTGCAGGGACCACAGACAAATCAGTCATGTGGTGTAATTATTTCTATTCCACTTTGCTCAGCATGGCATTGCAAATCTTTAAAAGAAACTGTTCCTTCCAAAATCTCAGCAAAACTACTTGAAAAAGAAAGGGATTGCAAGGTTGTGTATGCAAGGGCTGCATTTAGAAAATCTATTAGAAAATATACTTCTTGCTGATGGTGTGCAAACAAAAAGGGTTTTGGTGTTTGGCAGAAAGCAGGTTGGCCTTTCTGTCCTGGGTCTGGTGGCTGGTACTGCTCTGTACCAATTCCAGAGTCAAAATTGATAAGGAAATTCTGTCAAACTGCATTTTGTACTCTTTGGGCCACCAGATAGGTTTCTTATAATCAACCTTAAGCATCTGATGGGCAGATTTGCCTGTGGGGTAATGGGAACTATTTTAGTGATGTTATCTCCTCCCACCCTGCCAGCAACACAACCTGTGCCCCACAAGCTTTACACCTGGATTTTATTATTAAAAACAAGTGCAAGGCTGTGACTTAAACTGTACTTTCTGAATGCTCTGTGTGCTTTTGGGCAACTTTCTGGCAGTGTGTGGTATTTTATTTTTATTTTAATTCCCACTGTTGTGTGAGCAGAGCAGCCCTGTTGGGACACTTTGCTCATCCCAGCTCAGCCCTTCAAGGCAGCAGCATCAGCAGCACCAGCTCGTTCTGCCTGTGTTCTCAGGCACCTGGGCAGGAGGCCACATTCCTGAGCTGGTGTGGCCTCTCCTGCCTGCATTGCCTGGGAATTCTGGGGCTGCTGCTGGGCCTGACTGGTTTCTTCATGGCCAGGTCACACTGCAGGAAGTGTGGGGCTGTCAATCCCAGCTGCTTCACACCTCCCCAACGCTTGAATTTATGATTCTGATGGTTTCTCTACTCAAAGCTGTTTAAACTCTTCCTTTGTGTCTTTAACTTCTGCATTATTGTGGTTGTCTCAACAAGAATAAGGATTTTTTAGATTGAACTCCCAGAAAGAAAAGGGGGAAAAATCATCAAAACCAGCACACATCTGTTCTTGTCTGAGACATCTGAGTGTGTGTGGGGGTGTGTTTTTTTTTAGGTTGCTTGATGCAGATAGTGTGGGATCATTCCTGAATGTAGGGAGGAATGGTTTGATCCTTTGGTTTAAGGAAGTAGGGCAGGCTTAGGTTTTGTGGTACTGGTTCTTCAAGGAAACTGTTTCCAGAGAGATTGTACTCAAACTTGCTGGTTTGCAGTTCACTGAACAACTACCAGGAGTAGCTGCATAAATTCTTGGGCTTGATTGCAACCACATTCTGCATGATCTCCAGTTCTGAGGGTTTGTATTTAATTTCTTATTTTTAGTAGAAATCACAGGGTGAATTGGGGAAGGACACTCAGTGTAGGGTGCCACAGGGGTGATTCCTGCAAGCTTCAAGTAATAAAATACTGATGTGCAGGAGTCACTTTACTCCAGTTATTTTTATTACAGCTCTCCCTTGCTTGCAGAGTACCCACTGAATTTACTAGATCAGAGCTTAACAGAATTGATTTTTCTCTGTAAGTTGAACTTTTAAAAAAAATTATCAAATACACCTGTGCATATTGATGCTTTTAGATCCATCTGTTCTGGGTGTACCAACCTAATTTTTAAACCTTGAATTTCTGTCAGGTGCTGTCCAACAAACACGTGGCTCCAGATCATTTATTACAAATTTGCAAACGTATTGGCCCTATCCTGGATAAGGAGATCCCACCCAGCATTTCCAGAGTCAATTCCTTACTTGGGGCAGGCAGACAGTCCTTGCTACGGACAGCAAAAGGTAGGATCTGTTCTCTGTTTGAAATGGGGCTGATTCTTTGGCATTGGACAGATTTAGGATTTGGGGAAGAGTGGGAGAAAGGCACAACTGACACTTTGGAAGTGAAATCCCAGAAAATCCCAGAATGGTTTGGGTTGGAAGGGACCTTAAATCTCATCCCAATCCACCCCTGCCATGGCAGGGACACCTCCCACTGTCCCAGGCTGCTCCAGCCCCAGTGTCCAACCTGGCCTTGGGCACTGCCAGGGATCCAGGGGCAGCCCCAGCTGCTCTGGGAATTCCTTCCCCGCCCTCCCAGGGGAAAATTTTTTCCTAACATCCCATCTAAACTTGTCCTACTTCCCCCTTGTCCTTTCACTCCAAGCCTTTGTGAAAAATTCCTCTCCAGCTTTCTTGTAAATCCCCTTTAGTTACTGAAGGGTTCTTGAGATCATCTTATGAAATAACTTCCTATTATTAACTACTCATTACATTCCTGTATAAATATTCAGGAAAACGTTAAAAATCACTTGGAATTTTAGTTTTGTGTCACGTGAACTACAGGGGTACCATCATTCAGGACTAATTTCAAAGTTTGGTAATTTCAAAGTTTGGTAATATGAAATAATTTCATATTATTAACTGCTCATTACATTTCTGTATAAATATTCAGGAAAACGTTAAAAATCAGTTGGAATTTTAGCTTTGTATCATGTGAACTACAGGGGTACCATCATTTAGGAGTAATTTCAAAGTTTGGTAATATGAAATAACTTCATATTATTGACTACTCATTACATTCCTATATAAATATTCAGGGAAATGTTAAAAATCAGTTGGAATTTTAGCTTTGTATCATGTGAACTACAGGGGTACCATCATTTAGGAGTAATTTCAAAGTTTGGTAATTTCAAAGTTTGGTAATATGAAATAACTCCATATTATTGACTACTCATTACATTCCTATATAAATATTCAGGGAAACGTTAAAAATCAGTTGGAATTTTAGTTTTGTGTGATGTGAACTATAGGGGTGCCATCATTTAGGAGTAATTTCAAAGTTTGGTAATATGAAATAACTTCATATTATTGACTACTCATTACATTTCTGTATAAATTTTCAGGAAAACGTTAAAAATCAGTTGGAATTTTAGTTTGTGTCATGTGAACTACAAGGGTACCATCATTCAGGACTAATTTCAAAGTTTGGTAATTTCAAAGTTTGGTAATATGAAATAACTCCATATTATTAACTGCTCATTACATTCCTGTATAAATTTTCAGGGAAACGTTAAAAATCAGTTGGAATTTTAGCTTTGTATCATGTGAACTACAGGGGTACCATCATTTAGGAGTAATTTCAAAGTTTGGTAATATGAAATAACTTCATATTATTGACTACTCATTACATTCCTATATAAATTTTCAGGGAAATGTTAAAAATCAGTTGGAATTTTAGTTTTGTGTCATGTGAACTGCAGGGGTACCATCATTTAGGAGTAATTTCAAAGTTTGGTAATATGAAATAACTCCATATTATTAACTGCTCATTACATTCCTGTATAAATATTCAGGAAAACGTTAAAAATCAGTTGGAATTTTAGTTTTGTGTCATGTGAACTATAGGGGTACCATGATTTAAGAGTAATTTCAAAGTTTGGTGGTTGGTTGTGTTGGTTTTTCTCCTTCTGTTACTATTAAATGTATTTTTCTCTTTAACCTTTTGTTGTTTATGGAAGGTTTTGGGGCAGTTGGTGCCTGGTTTTTTAGTGGGTTCAGTCCTGTGTCTGAGAGCAGTCTAGATGGGCTCTTTGCTGTGTTTTGGAGCTCTCTTGGCATTTTTAGAAAGTATTTCTGCTAACCTTCAGCTGTTTTTGCAGATTGCAGGAACACTGTTTGGAAGGGCTCTGCATTTGCTGCTCTGCATCGAGGCAGACCCCCTGAAATGCCTGTGAACTATGGCACCCCCCCAAACCTTGGTAAGCTCCTCTCACCTCTCCCCACTGCTGCTGAGCACACCTAAAATACACAGAGAAAATTGCAGATACCACAAAACCTGACTTGATGCAATCTGACAGTAATTTCTGGTGGCTTTTTAATATGAATGCTAATTGAATAAAGCCAAGTTTTAGAACAGATGTGTTTGATGTGATTGCTCTGTGTTCCAGTGGAGGTGCATCGAGCAAAGCAATTGACTGGATATGCCAAGTTCAGCACCTCATTCCCAGGGACTATGTACCAGCATGTCAAGATGCACAGGAGGATCCTTGGCCATCTCTCTTCTGTGTATTGTGTTGCATTTGACAGGACTGGACACAGAATATTTACTGTAAGTTGATGAGATAAATCCAATATCTGAATATAGTTGTAGATGATGCAAGGAAAAGAGCTTGGAAATGGGTGTTGTGCTGGAACTTCTGGAGATAAATCTCAATACTGGGAAAATGCAGCTCCCTCACTCTGCTGAAGTGGAACAATTTGCTGTAATTAAGGGTCAGAAGCATGTCAGAAGTTGTCCTTCATGCATATTTCTCTCTAGGGCTCAGATGACTGTCTGGTGAAGATCTGGTCCACCCACAATGGCAGATTATTTGCCACCTTACGAGGACATTCAGCAGAGATCTCTGACATGGCTGTGAACTATGAGAACACCATGATTGCAGCTGGCAGCTGTGACAAGATGATCAGAGTCTGGTGTCTGAGGACTTGTGCACCAGTTGCTGTCCTCCATGGGCACACAGGGTCCATTACCTCACTGCAGGTATGGGGTTTTTGAAGTGCTCCTGAATATTAAAAACTGAAATTATTTCTCTGTGGCTGCCTATGGGAGTGGTGAAATCTGAATGTGTAAATATTCATGTCAAAACAAAGTCAAATCACAGGATAAACCTGCTTAAAAACAAGTAAATTCCTTGTCTCTCTGGAATTTCTAAGTATTTAACTGAAGATAATGACAGGAACTTTTTCACTTCAAGATCACTGTGTACAATACTTGGGTTGTTGGAGCAAAAGGCAATTTCTGGGAGTTATCCTGTCCTCCTGTTGTTTCTTACTGGAGACATGATTTGCTCTTCTGTGTGAATGTTTTCTGATCCTGTATATTATTCCTACAACTTTTGAGGTGTGGGTATTTGTTTTAATCTCCAAACTAGGAGTTATTTCAGAAGGACAAAGATGTCCTGTGTATTTAAGTTTGAAGGTAGTTTGATACATGATGTGCTCTTGCTGGTCCTTTGGATTCAGTCTGGTTTGAAATTCCTTAATTGACACAGAAATTAGCAGCTCATTATCCAGGTTTGGGTGTTTTCCAGTGAGACCAACAGCTTGTCTTGAGGGCTGAAGAGTGGCTTGTGGAGTTCACTACAAATAATTTTGAATTTTTCTCAAAAATGCTGCCTCAGAGAGTAATCTTCATACCTGTACTTTCTGTGGCATTCACTGCATTTTTTAGTTTGGTTTTTTAATGTCTAAATACGTGTGGTACTTCTTTTATTGCAGTGTGTGGATTTTTTAATTTAAGATTTCTTAACAATACCATAATTGCACTATGTACAATTTATATGACTTTCCAATGCTAGTAATTGGTGAGCAGTTTAAACAAGTTGTGTCTGTAAAGTTTTCTGCTCTGTGCATAGCAATAAATCCATGTCTTGAAGAACTATTTCTGAGGAATTTCCATAAAATTCCTGTAAAATTACATACAATGCTAAGCTACACATTCAAATTATCTCACATCTCATGCTCTGCTTAATTATTTTTAAACTACACCTGTCTATTCCAACTTCCCTTTTTTCAGTCTGCTGTGCTCATTATTTTATTCATTGACAGGATTTTCAGTGAATGATTGTGGTCAGTGAAAACATCAAACCCAAACCACTGAAGGAATTGGGGTTTTTTTAACACAGTAATTGAAACACAGACCACAAACTTACCTTAAATTATGGGAGGTATTCTTTGTAAACACTAAAAATTACTTACCAACAACTGCTCCAGCAGCCTGAGGTGAAAAATCCAAAATAAATCAAGATTTTACATTCACTTTTTTTGAGAAGTTGATGAACAATTGTTAAATCTCTGTTTGTGTGTGTGATTTTTGCTTCCCTCCCTGCAGTTCAGTCCCATGGTGAAAGGCTCCCTGAGGTACATGGTCTCCACTGGGGCTGATGGAACTGTTTGCTTTTGGCAGTGGGATACAGATTCCATGAAATTCAAGTATGTCAATGGTTTGCTGCTTAACCTTTATGCCATGCTGGGCTTGAGTAGAATAAATCAGGTGGTTTTTACTCCTCTGGGTCTTTGGGGTTATAGAAATGCTGTGCAGATCATGCATTCAGTAGTTATTTTAAAGCACCATCACCAACTGTATCCTTTACAAATTAGTGTTCATCCATTAACTTGGGAGATTAGTTGGGAAATACATTAATTTCTTTCTTCACTAAAAGTACAAATGTAGGACAGCAGGACTGGCTGGCAATGTAAATATGTTGGAAAATATAATAAAAGTTGGTGGTGCTGTTGGTTTTCCAACAATCCTGGAGGTTTAGGATGTTTCTTACAGAACTTGCATGCAGGATAGTCTGAAATGTTCAGCATGTGATTACTCTGTGGTTGTACCCAAAAGATAATTATAATTACTACCAAGAAGAGCTCAGTGTGTGTCTGCTCTTGTGCCACATCATGGTATAAAATGATCCATGTTTAAAGAAACTTCCCTTTATCTTTGAGATGTTGCTAAAAGCCAAGTTTTGGGTGGTGTGACCTATTTCAAACATCTTCTCTTTTTAAGCACCAAGCCAGTGAAGTTCACAGAGAAGCCCAGGCCAGGGGTTCAGATGCTTTGTTCTTCCTTCAGTGTGGGTAAGTCAGGTGCAGCTCAGCCTCGTGATTTCTTCTTTCCTCTCTTGTAACACTTGATTGTGACAGCTTTAAAATGGACAAACCCTGCAGTTGGGAGTAAATAATTGCACAGATGTGCACTGTTAGCTGTGCCATAATTAATTAAATCATGGGGCTTCCCTTAGCTAACAGTGAAAAACTGTTGAAGACGTTGGTGATTGCACAGAGGTAAAAGCCACCTCATGTCTGGGGTTTTTTTCTATCCATCTTTAGTGGAGTTTTTATTTTTGTTGAATTCCCTTATGCAACGTCAAAGGTTGGCAAAATGACATCCCATAGTCACCAGCAGTGCAGTGGGTCCTGCCAGCAGCAGCTCCTGAGCCAGTGCCAGGGATGAAGATCCCATCAAGATCTTCCTCTCTTAAGGATGCAGAGATGGATCTTCAGTGTGCTTCCCTCCTGCCTTGCAGTTTCCTTTCACTCAGTTCATGTGAATTTCATTAAATCAAAAGCAAATCCAAGTGTAGCTTGTTAACATTGTCAGGAGAGAGCCCTGGCTTGTGTTGGGAGGCTGGATTTGACATTTTGCTTGGTTGGTTTTTGGGGTGTTTTTGACAGCACTTAGAGGCAGAGCTTGGAACTTCTGCCCCCTCAGCTAAATACTGGTGTGCTTACACTGTGTGCTTCACTTGCCTGGTTTACTCACATTTCAGCCTGGTTTTGATGCAGTTCACTGGCACAGACTACAGTGAGAGTCATCTACAGAATTCTGATTATCCAGAGCCATATTCCCCACCATTGAAGGCTTCTCTGTACAGTTTAATGTTAAAAGTTCCACTATTGCTCTAAAGATATATTTAAAAACCTTTGTAACACCAATTCATTTTTACTATGGCTGAGAGAACATTTTCTGGGGCAAGAAAGGGATTTCCTTCCACATATGTGTGTCAGTGGAAGAGCATAAAAATGTGCCATTCTCCAAACAGCTGTGGGTTTTTTTTATTTAAACCAGGTCTCTGAGAAATGGTGGTGACCTGTTTTCATTTCTTCCACAGCAGGTTAATTATTGCTTGATTTTTACAGGTGGGATGTTTTTAGCAACTGGCAGCACTGACCACGTCATCAGGATGTATTTTTTTGGCTCTGAAACACCTGAGAAAATAGCAGAATTGGAAAGTCATGCTGTAAGTAATTAGTTAATTAATCATTTGAGGCAATACTGAAATTACAAGATGATTTTTTGAGTGGGTTTTTAGCAATGCTCTTAATTAATTTTGTTTGCATTAATGTTTCCTCTCCTATAAAATCTGACTTTATTTTTGTTGCATTGATAAGGCTTGATCAGTTCTGATTTTTTTTTTTATGTAGGGGAGACTTTTCCACTCTGAGACAAAGTGTGGGATCTGCTTTTCTGTAGTTTTTATTGTGATAAAAGTGAATTATTGTTTATTTTTTTAAGAAAAGTGTAAGTAGGAGTTGGAACAACATATTCCTCACCAATGTAGTTGACTTATGGTACTGGAAATATATCTAAATATGATTCAGTTGTCATTCAGGGTAGTTAATCTGTTAATCATGTTTAATTCAGGCAGTTTCTAAAAGATGCATTTTAGATACATTAATGGTTAGTGAATTCTGGACAGTGTTTGGACTTGATTTGCCATGCAGTTAAAACTCTTAAAAATAACATTTTATTTTTTCATTATTTCAGATTTACTAAATTCAGAATTATCAAAAAATATATTTCCTGTTTAAAAAACAAAATTTCTAACAAACTCTACTTTTTCTTACAGGACAAAGTTGACAGCATTCAGTTTTCTAATGGTGGGGACAGGTATGTTGAAAAATGCTGAAATATGGCCAAAAAATACATAATTTTGGAATTAAGAATCTGTTACTGGATGTTCCAAGTAAAGAAAAATCTCCTTATTCAGAATGGAAATTTTGGACTGATGCAGGAGCATGATTAAGCTTCAGCTGTTGCAGCTTTCTGTTGATCTGTGTTAGGTGATCCTTCCCTGGCTGGGGTTTTATTTACCTGGAGGAATTTTACCAGTTTTTCATGTTCCCTATATGTTTGTGGCCTCATAAATCTCCTTTTCCTCCTCCTTTCCTTTCAATTCCATTGAGTTTTGTATAGGAAATAGGAAAAATGCAGTGAAAATGGTCAAAAATAAATTAGAACCTTTTCATCTGATTTCCTCTCCTTTCAATTTCATTGAGGATTGTATAGGAAATAGGAAAAATGCAGTGAAAATGGTCAAAAATAAATTAGAACCTTTTCATCTGATTTCCTCCTTTCCTTTCAATTTCACTGACGATTGTATAGGAAATAAGCAGTGAAAATGGTCAAAAATAAATTAGAACCCTTTCATCTCCTTTTCCTCCTTTCCTTTCAATTTCACTGAGTTTTGTATAGGAAATAGGAAAAATGCAGTGAAAATGGTCAAAAATAAATTTTAACCTTTTCATCTGATTTCCTCCTTTCCTTTCAATTCCATTGAGGATTGTATAGGAAATAGGAAAAATGCAGTGAAAATGGTCAAAAATAAATTAGAACCTTTTCATCTGATTTCTTCCTTTTCTTTCAATTTCACTGAGTTTTGTATAGGAAATAGGAAATAAGCAGTGAAAATGGTCAAAAATAAATTAGAACCTTTTCATCTGATTTCCTCCTTTCCTTTCAATTCCATTGACGATTGTATAGGAAATAAGCAGTGAAAATGGTCAAAAATAAATTAGAACCTTTTCATCTGATTTCTTCCTTTCCTTTCAATTTCACTGAGTTTTGTATAGGAAATAGGAAAAATGCAGTGAAAATGGTCCAAAATAAATTAGAACCTTTTCATCTGATTTCCTCCTTTCCTTTCAATTTCACTGAGTTTTGTATAGGAAATAGGAAAAAAGCAGTGAAAATGGTCAAAAATAAATTAGAACCTTTTCATCTGATTTCCTCCTTTCAGTTTCACTGAGTTTTGTATAGGAAATAGGAAAAAAGCAGTGAAAATGGTCAAAAATAAATTAGAACCTTTTCATCTGATATTGTCTCTACTTCAGTGTCTGAAACTCTGCAATAAAAATACACTGAAATCCTGAAGTGAGGAGGAGTTGAGGATGAATTTGTGAATTGAGTTCAACTTTGGAAGTTTTTTCTCTGTTCTTCATATTTTGACAACTTTATTCAGTTCTCCAGTTCAGAAAAACTCTTTCCTGCTTTTCTGGAAAGAACGGGAAGAATTCTCTTGAACACAAAATTGCAGATTTCACTTCTATCAATCTTGCAGTGCAAAATCTCTGTTGTGGTGGTGTCTAACTCTGTGTATCCTGGGAAGCAGATGTTTTGGAGGATAAATGAATGAGTTTTTAACCCTTGTTCAGGTTCATTAGTGGCAGCAGAGATGGGACAGCTCGGATCTGGCGTTTCGAGCAGGCAGAGTGGAGGAGCATTTTGTTGGATATGTCTGATCGACTGCTGGGGTAGGTCAAGTGTTCACTTCATGCTTTCCTTTGTGTAAGTTCAGGAGGATTGAAAAACTCCATTACTCAAATGTGAGAGTGAGAGCAGAATTCTGGTCAAGTTCTGTGGTCTTGGGAGGGGTGAGTTGAGTGTTCTGGTGATGTAATAATTGCTGAGTTTCAATGCTTTCATAAATTCCTAAGTGTTCAAAAGCTCTCAGATGTACTCTGTACCAAGTTAATTGTATTGCCTCTTTTCAGGGAAAGAAGTGAACAGAAAGAATCTAACTTCTCTCTCTGGGTTTTAGTCTGACACCTGGTGTGTCAAGGGAGAAATATTTTTAGATTAGTAGAAATAAAGTAGGTGGTGACCTATTTGCAGGAGAGGTCATGACATGGAATAGGTGGCTTTCCTCAAGGACTGATCTTGCTGACTGCTCCCATTTTCTGCTTTTTAAAAAGTGAATTAATGAAATGCTGGTGGCACCCAGTCTGAATAATGTTATTACAGATAAAAATCAGATTATTGTATGGTGTTGGGTAAACCTGAAGGGGGAATGATTTACAGGAGTACAGAAGCTCAGTAACCTTCCACAGGCACTGAACAGAAATTCATTTGTAGGTGATTAAATGAGATTTTGATTAAATGATTTGTAGGTGATAAAATAAAAAGCCACACCTTGGGTACCCATCTGATTGGAGGGTGATTTCAGGCTTTTCCTGTGATGACAAAGACCATGAAAGAAACCTGATTTTACAAAGGAGGAGTTATTAATAGTTGAGATTTGACTGTGGCTTTGTAAGTGGAATAAAGATAATCCCATGTGAAGGTGTTTCAAGGAAAACTTATTCCTTGGATTGACTGGAAAAAGGCTGAGGGGCAGTGTTACAGTATCCTATAAATGTGTTTTAGGGAGAGAATAAGGAAATAGATTGAGGTTAAAATAAAATGTTATCTTTACTGTCTTTCTGTTGGGACTCATCAAAAAATGCTTAGCTAATGTAGAGGTTGGCTTGGGAATCAGTTAGTTGGAAAAGCTGGCTGTAAAATGTCCACAGTTTTGCAGGATTTATGTTAGGACTCTCATTGTAGAGGAGCCAAGAGTCCATGAAAAAGGAAAGCCTTTTTGACTTGCATCTCAAATGGGAAAGAGATTATCAAGTCCTTTAAAATTTAAAAATCCACATTTTAAGCATTTTGTGGACAAAAATTTCAACCCACATTTAATTCTTCACTTCCTTTCTGTTGTCTGATGATTGTATTTTGCTATAGAAATGGGCTAATTAAAATACAAACTACATCTCTGACCTGTTTGACTTTTTTCAAATAGTGACACTTGTGCAGAAGAAGACAAATTCATGAAGCCTAAAGTAACCATGATAGCTTGGAACCAAAATGACAACTATGTTGTTACAGCTGTGAATAATCACCTGCTCAAAGTTTGGAATTCCAGCACAGGGCAGTTGCTCCATGACTTGGTGGTATGGGATTTTCCTTGCTTTTGGAAGATTTTCCTGGAATTGCAGTGACATGTGCATGCTGAATTTATAATTAGAGCTGATTAGTCTTGAAAGCTCTGTATGGATGGCACAGCAAGTGGGGTGTTCCTTGAAATTCTTTTAACCAAAATTTGCTGCTTCCTCCAGATTTGGACTTTCCCTGTCAATAAAAGAACAAATAAATGTGGAATAAATAAAATTCTTGTGCAGTAACTCACCCATTGAATAATTCACCATCCTTTGGCAAAAACTTCATATTTCTACAGCTCTTGCTAGAATCTAGAAAATTTTTCCCTTTGGAATGTTGAAATCTTTGTGGCTGCCTGGGGTTGAATTTTGCAGAGAGGACAGCACAGGCTCTGTTGTGAATACCCTGCTGCTGTGGATTTCCCTGTTTCCCTGAGATGTGCAGTTTTCCATTGCAGGGCCATGCAGATGAGGTGTTTGTCTTGGAGACCCATCCCTTTGATTGCAGGATAATGCTGTCTGCAGGCCATGATGGCAACATCTTCATCTGGGACATCACCAAAGGCACCAAAACAAAGCATTATTTTAACATGGTGAGAGCCTCTTTAAACACCATTTATTCACAGCTGTGTGGGCACTACCAGCTTAAGGAACTGCCATTAACATTCACACCTTTAGGGGGAAAAAAACCCCAACCAGACAGGAAAACCTTAACCAGCAAAATTTATTAATTGATTTTATTTCCTTAGAGGTTTTTACCTTAGACTTTCCTGCTTATTGCAGATTTTGCACTCTTTTTTACTGAAGATTGTTGTGCACTTCATTCATATGAATTGTTTTCCTCAACTGAGGTGCCATCTAAAAGGCTCTGTTTCAGGCCATTGTTTCAAGACATTTGTATTTTCCACAGGCTTAAAAATGATAATCTTAATATCCATTGGCATTGTGGGCTCCATTTGACAGCTCACCATTAACACTTTAAATTAGGTTATTTTCTCTGAGACTTAGGTTCTGATCTAATTTCCTATAATTTTTTCATCCTTTTTCCCTGCTCAGTCAACAGCAAATAGCATTTTTAATTTTTATTTTTTTTTATTTTTAAGTTCTTAAAATAAAGAACAACTTCTTTCTTTTATTCTTAAGTTCTTTTTCTTGTCTAGAAAGTTGTTTACCAAAACCAGTCTATATTAGCTCCAGTTTATTTCAAGCAGTGTGCTGACAGCTAAAAAGCCTCAGAAAAACATGTTTATTTCTTTATTTTATTCTCTGAACAGTAACTTTCATACCTTCTAGTGCATATTTTAGAATTGGTTCAGGACTTAAATTCAAGGGGAAAAAATATACTGAAGTAACAAAATTATTTGGACTTTAATTGGACGTGGTTGGGGGAAATGCATGGAGTAATTAATTTTTGATGCTTATGGTTTACTCTGAAAAAATGGTCCAATAATTTTGATTTTTTTTTTCTTCAACCCAGATTGAAGGCCAGGGACATGGAGCTGTTTTTGACTGTAAATTTTCACCTGATGGGCAGCATTTTGCATGCACAGATTCTCATGGGCATCTGCTGATATTTGGCTTTGGCTGTAGCAGGCCTTATGAAAAGGTGAGTTGAGCTTTTTATCAGATCTCTGTATGGAGTTTCTAACTAAAATAACATTATTACATTCATTAATTTAAAAGTTTATATGTAAAAAATAATTTGTGTGGTTAGAAGATCTAAATGTAATGGATTCCTTGATGTCTGTAAATTGTCTTGCTTATATGAGCCTGGCACAGCAGAAAAAACCCAAAGTCTCAACATTCCCATGGGAGTAGCTCCCAGGAATGTTCCTGGAATACATTTTCATCTTGGAGACAGCCAATTCACCTTCATTGTTCAACCTCAAAAATGCTGCTGTTTCTAATTTCTGCTGGTTTATCCTGCAGTTCTTTAGGCCTTTCCTCACTCAAGCCCAAATTTACTGTAGTTGATTAAATTAAGCAAAAGTAAATTATTGATCCAACAATTTAACCTATCCTCAATTTTTGAATTTATCAACCTGCTTCCTTTTTGTTTTGATAAATACACATTTCTTCTTTTCTTTACTTCCCCTCCATTTTTTTTTGGATTGCAATGCTGGTTCCATGTCTGTCATTTTAAAGAATTATTTTTTCCTTGCTCTGCATTCTCAGCTGAAATTGAACCTTGTTCCCTTCATCTTTGCCATCACTGCTGGAAGCAAACATTCTGACTGTGCTCTAATAGTTATGTAACCATTTTCCTTCCCCCTCATGGACTTCCAGTTGTAGAAAAAAACTTCAGGTGGATATAAATTAAGAAAACTTTACTTTCAGCTGCTGTGGAGCTTTAGCCAAAGATTTCCTTGCGAGGAAACTTTGGGGCCACTCACGAGTTGGGCTTGGTGACTCTTGTGGGTCCATTCCTACTCTGAGTGACTCTAATAATTGTAGGGGAAAAATGCAGAATGAGAGATAAATATTTTTAAGTGTAAAAGGGTACTTTTGCATCAAGTTACTTCAGCTTTTTGTTTTCTGAAAGAATTTTGTTGCCTGCAAAAGTTTTGAAAAAAAAAAAGTTTTGAAAGCTGCACTACTGCAAAACCCATCCAGGTTAACTCAAGTTACCCATAAATCTTCTTTCTAACTGGGAACTTGACCTTTCTTCTACCTTTAAGTAGATTTTAGGCACTTTAGTGCCTGTTCTTTGTTCTTTAGCATATTCTTTTTTCCTAATTGCTACCATAAAAATCAAATTTCCTTTTAGATCCCTGATCAGATGTTCTTCCACACTGACTACCGGCCGCTGATCCGAGACTCCAACAACTACGTGCTGGATGAGCAGACCCAGCAGGCCCCTCACCTCATGCCCCCTCCCTTCCTAGTGGATGTGGATGGAAACCCTCATCCCACTAAATATCAAAGATTGGTGCCAGGAAGAGAGAATTGTGCAGATGAACATTTGATTCCTCAGCTTGGATATGTAGCAACAAGTAAGAATGTCACTAAAGCTCCACATTCAGAAGGTTATTCACTAGTTCCTAAGGGGGCATCAGCAATTTAAAAATACCTTTTTTTTTCACTTGATATTTTGTATTTATGTTCACTAGAGATGCTGGAAGGTCCTACAGGGAATACAATTTAAGCAAAAAAAATCAGTTTTTCAAATGGATGTTGCAGTTATTTTCTGTGGGTAGTGATGTTCACAAACCATTTGATTGTACATCCCATAAGTGTCTTACTTGGAATAAATAATTGGGATAATTTCATTGAACATTTGAGTCCTCAGCTTGGATATGTAGCAACAAGTAAGAATGTCACTAGAAGTAGGTTATTCACTAGTTCCTAAGGGGGCAGCAGCAATTTAAAAATACTCAATTTTTTCACTTATTATTTTGCATTTATGTTCACTAGAGATGCTGGAAGGTCCTACAGGGAATACAATTTAAACAAGCAGAAAAAATCAGTTCTTCAAATGGACTTGCAGATCTTTTCTGTGAGCAGTGATGTTCACAAACCATTTGATTGTACATTGCATACATGTCTTACTTGGAATAAAGAATTGGAATAAGTTGATTGATTTGATGTGTTTTACACTTGCAAGGTGATGGAGAAGTTGTTGAGCAGGTGATTGGCCAGCAGACAGTTGACCAGGATGAGCCAGGCTTGGAGCCCAGCATTCTGGATGGGATGATCAGACAGCTGCAGCTGGAACAGGATCAGAGAACTGGAGCTGATCAAGAATCTGCTCCAAGTGGCCCCCAAAATGGGGAGGGAACACCCAGGAGAGGTTAGAACTGCTGATAATTCTTCAATCATTGTTCTGTCTCTGTTTTTATTGTGCTGTGTGAAATACTGAAACAGGTTTTAACTTCAGTATAATTCTGGGGACTGAGATTCCTTTAACATTGTGATACCTGGTTATTTTTACTCACTAAAACACTGCTGCTTCTGTGATTTAATTACAAAGCCTTTCACTTTAAAAGATCATTAATAACATGCAAAATGTATACAACAGAATTTTTTGCAAATGTTTGCCAATATAAGTTATTTTTGCATTCCTTACTTTTTGCAAAGTAAGTATTGTACCATTATTCAAACTGGTTTCCCCTGTCCCTTCTTTACACATTTAAACAAGATACTTTCCTAACCTTGTCTTTGGAGTTCTAATTATGTAATTATATAATATAGATGGAAAAAAAAATTTACATAATTATACATTTAATTACATGCACTCAGCTCTAGGAAAAATGCTTTTTAGAGCCTCACTGGCTTCAGAGCTGTCTGACATAGTTCAGAAGAGCCCTTTTGTCACACCACAGTTCCTTCCACTGGGAAGTGTTTGGGAAACCATGGGAGTGTGGCACTCAGTGCTCTGGTCTGGTTGACAAGGTGATCACTGGTTAAATGCTGGATCTTGGAGGTCTTTTTCAGCCTAAATGACTCTGATTCTGTGAAAACAGTAGCAGAAATAACCATTTTAAAAGTAATTTTTGTATTCTCTCTGTGTTTTCTACAAGACACATAATCCTCCAGAACTGATGCCTTGTGCAGGCTGCCCCAGAGCAGAGGCTGGGCAGAGCTAAAGAATAAAGCAGGGATTGATTCAAAGGCCTCCATGGATGCACCTTGGGCAGCACCAGAGCCCAGCCAGGGCTGCACCCAAGATGAACCAAAATGGCCCCAAAATGCACGGCCGGGCACGGGCTCTGTCCCTGGGATCAGTTCTGCTCCATTTGCATCTTGCAGTTCATTGTCCCATTCCAGCTTTAGCCCCTGCAGTCCCACCCTGCTTGTTTTTCTCTCTCCAGCCCACGGGGTTTGTGCTCTGGGGCTGAGATTTGGATCATTTGTCCTTGGTGCCCAGCTGGAGCAGGAATTGTTTTGTCTCCCTGCTCTGTGCACAGAGCTCACCATCCCAGAGTATGAACCCAGCCCCACACACTAAAGCAGCACAGAACCTGAAAAATAGAAAAGCTCAAACCTGAGGCATCACTGTAGTCTCCAAATCACATACATAGAGATAAAAATACATCCATTATTCTTTTTAATTTTTTTTTTTAATCTTTTAACAAGAATCTTCCAGTTCCCTTCAGCATGACAAAAACCATTTTGATTTGTGTGTTTCAGCTTTCAGAAGGCCAAGTCTGGACATCCAGTCCCCGCCCAACATCGGGCTGCGGCGCAGCGGGCAGGTGGAGGGCGTGCGGCAGATGCACCAGAACGCCCCCCGCAGCCAGATGGCCACCGAGAGGGACCTGCAGGCCTGGAGGCGCAGGGTGGTGGTGCCTGAGATCCCCCCCAGCTTGCTCAGGTCTGTCTGCAGCCTGCAGCTGATGCCTGCAGAGGCTGCCCAGAGCAGAGGCCAGGCAGAGTGCAAGAGCCTCACAGAGGCTGTGTCCACCATGGACGATGGTCATGAAAATTTTGGGCAGATATAACTTTGGTCTATTGACATATCAGAGGTGAATTGTGTAATTCAAGCTTCAGGTAATGAAATCATATCCCCCTAGTTTGCTTCTCCCCCCAGTTCACTTTTATTTATACTTTTGTTCAACCCCCAACTGCACTTGAGCAGTGCAAGAGCCTGGCAGAGGCTGCATCCACGATGGACCATGGTCATGAGTTTTTTGGGCAGATATAAGTTTGGCTTATTTGCATATCAGAGGTTAATGGTCCAGTTACAGCTTCAAGTAATGAAGTCATATCCTCCTAGTTTGCTTTTCCCCCCAATTCACTTTTGTTTGTGCCAACTGCTCCTGGGCAGTGCAAGAGCCTGGCAGAGGTTATGTCCACCATGGACCATGGTCGTGAAGTTTTTGGGCAGATCTAACTTTGGTCTGTTTGCATATCAGAGGTTAATTCTCTAATTAAAGCTTTAGGTAATGAAGTCATATTCCCTCTGGTTTGCTTCTCCCCCCAGTTCACTTTTATTTATACTTTAGTTCAACCCCCAGCTGCTCTTGAGCAGTGCAAGAGCCTGGCAGAGGCTGCATCCATGATGGACCATGGTCACACGTTTTTTGGGCAGATCTAAGTTTGGCTTATTTGCATATCAGAGGTTAATGGTCCAGTTACAGCTTCAAGTAATGAAGTCATATCCTCCTAGTTTGCTTTTCCCCCCAATTCACTTTTGTTTGTGCCAACTGCTCTTGGGCAGTGCAAGAGCCTGGCAGAGGCTACATCCACCATGGACGATGGTCATGAAATTTTTGGGCAGATCTAACTTTGGTCTGTTTGCATATCAGAGGTGAATTCTCTAATTAAACCTTCAGGTAATGAAGTCATATCCCTCTGGTTTGCTTCTTTCCCCCAGTTCACTTTTGTTTATACTTTTGTTCAACCCCCAACTGCTCTTGGGCAGTGCAAGAGCCTGGCAGAGGCTTTGTTCATGACTGACAATGGTCACACGTTTTTTGGGCAGATAAAAGTTTGGTCTATTTGCATATCAGAGGTTAATTGTCCAGCTTCATTACAGCTTCAAGTAATGAAGTCATATCCTCCTAGTTTGCTTCTCCCCCAAATTCACTTTTGTTTATACTATTGTTCAACCCCCAACTGCCCTTGGGCAGTGCAAGAGTCTGGCAGAGGCTACATCCACAATGGATGATGGCCACAAGGTTTTTGGGCAGATGTAACTTTGATCTATTTGCATATCAGAGGTTAATTGTCCAATTACAGTTTCCAGTAATGAAGCCATATCCCCCTAGTTTGTTTCTCCCCCAAATTCACTTTTGTTTATACTTTTCAGGGCCTGAGGCAGCTGGTGTGACCTTGGTTTCCAGGCCCAGAAGGATTGTTTAGTCTGATCAAAATGTGAAGAGAGCTAACTAGCATTCTATATAGAGTTCAGAGTTGTGCACTGATCCACTACAGAATCTGAAAAATATAAAAGCTACAACTTAAGGCAGCACTAGGGACAGCACAGCAGCTTGCTTGGTCTAAATTAAGGGCTGTTACACCAAAGATGGAATGGATGCTGTTGGAATAGTTCAGTGTTGTGGGCAGATACACTAAAAACTCGTCATTGTAAGGTCCATTCAATGAGAAGAAAAGGAAGTTGTCCAGTTGAATGATTCTCCCCTATTTCAATATTCTAAGTTATCTCCAGGCCAGCTAGCTCACCTAGATTCTTGCTTCCTCCAAAATAAGAGGTGGAATTCATTTCCATGGAGGAGTTGGGTGAGATTGTGCTCTCTGTGAGACTTTTGGAGGTGATGAGTTACAACCCCTTGAAATGCTAAACCAGTTGCTTTCAGAAGTGTATCAGTATTGATCTGTGAAAAGGAGAATTAGTAGCTAAACATCTCTGTTTAAAGCTGCAGCCATAGGTGCTGCCACATCTCTGAGGGTTTTAAGAAGCATTCCCAGTGTTGGGAAGTAGAGTGATTGCAAATGGAAAACTGTGAACTAAAAATGAGGTTGAAAACATGGATTATATTTTGATGTTTGGAAGGAAGACTTTCTTAGCATCCATGGTTTTTACCTGGAAATGATAGGATGGTTTAGAGTTAACTGAGCAACAATAACATCTGAAAGTAAAAATGGAATGGAATTGGGTGTGAGAGAGATCCCTGGAAGAGCCCAGCATTGTCAAAACGGGTGTAGAATTAGATTTTCATGTCTTTCTTGTAGGAAACAGGAAGAATATCGGATTGCAAAAGGGGAAGAAGAGAGAGATCTTTATGCAACAGAGAATAAGAAGTCATTTGAGTCACTGGAAAAGGTATGTGGCAGCTTCTGGAAAAGTGAGCATTCTGTGCCCAGGGACAAGTGGTGGTGTAGAAAATGAAAGCAGAGGATTCTGGTGTGGTCTTCCAAGGACTCTGATGATTCAGCTCCCAATTGTTGCAGGACAAGGCTTGATTTATTTTTATGGATACCTGGAATTCTTTTTGCTTTCAGTCTTGCCTGCTTCTCTGTGAAGTATTTGGGAGTAATTTTGAAAGGCAGGATGGCTTTCAGGCTGTTCTGGCTTGACTGCAGTTACACAGTTGCTGCAAGTCCTGCTGAAGCACTGAGCATTCAAGGTGCTGTGCTTGAGGAATCACAGATTCTATTGCTGTTCCTTGTCATTTTCCTTTTGATGACAATGTTTTGTGTGTGGGGAACCTTCTTCAGACTTCCCTCCTTTCACCTGTTTGGTGGGAGAGATTGGCAAGAAGGAAACATTGGTTATTGTGCTGTTTTTATAAGCCTGTTACCTGATTTGCTGTGTCCTAGAGTACAAAACAATTTGACAGAAGATTTGACAGAAGAATTCTACTGCAGGATCCCCTTTACTGAGGGGAGCTGGGGTTTGAAACAAAATGATCTTTAAGGTCCCTTCCAGCCCAAAGCATTCTCTGTTCTTATAATTGCACATTGTAGGCAGTTATGTGTTGAGTCTGTAAATACATTTATCAGGTGATGTGATTGAAGCTGTCACAGTAGTTTATAAAGAAAAAGAACAATTTCTTAGAACAACTAAAACATCTTAAATTTGTAACAGCAGATTTTAAGCTTTGGGCTTACCTGAAAATTATTTCTTGTGAAAGGGAGTTTTAACTTCATCATGCTGTTTCCAATTTTTGCATTCAGCAGTGCTTTTAACTACCTTTTCCCCCTCATAAAAAATTGCCAGATAAATATTTTTCTTTAACTCCTGTCCTTTCCCTCCTTTATAAATCAGAGTGACTCTGAGTCGTCATTAATCCAGTCAAAGCGTCGACTGCACAGACGGAAATATTCCAACTACAGAACGCGGAAAAACATTGAGCAGCTGGAGTCTTCTGAGGAGGACAGGGACAACTGCTTTGGCTTGATAGAGCAGGTGAGTTCTCCTCTGAGTCTGGATTTTCATCTTGAGTTGCTCAATAAATGAAATTTCATGTAGATGTGCCTTTTGGCTGTTAAACAAGCAAACAAAAAGCCTCCAACCCTTCTTTTCCCAGGAAAAGTTATTTCTTTAAGCATCTTCATTGTTGGCACTTCTCAAACCTGTTGTGTTGCTTTAATAAAGACAATATTTCCTGTCAGTTTATAAATGGCTCAACTGGTTTTGCTGAGAATATTCTAAACCAAATCCACAGCCCCTGTCAAAAATCTGATGGACAGTTGGTTGGCTTCTGGTGACATTTGGAGTTTAGATGTGGTTTTAATGTTTTTCTATGGAAATTTTTTGAAGGTTCTTGCAAATGTGATTTTTCCACAGGGTCTGTTCCTCTGACCTGAGGTGACCCAGGGCTTAGTGGGTAGCAGGAGCTTTTTGTTGTGTCTGATGTGTTATCAGACTGTAAATGGGTGATAGGACTGCCCTTGTCTTGCCTTGCCCACAAGGAAATAATTTTAAACTGGGAAAAGGTGAAGTGGAAGGGGCAGAGAAGCTCAGACTTGTTGGAGCTGTCACTTTGTTAAGGAAGAACAGTGAACAAAAGGGAGCATGTTCAGGAGATGAGGAAATCTTGCAAGTAAGATGAGGAATGGTGTTCTTGGAAATGGACTCTCCTTTTCTTGCCTCTTAATAAAGAATTTCACTGTATAAAAACAATAATTCCCTTAAATTGAATGTAAAGTTCAGTGAGTATTGCACTTTGATATTGTAGTGTATGAGCAGGTTTTAGTGAGAGGACTGTCAGCTTTGTTACTCTGAAAATCAGTTTGACTATGACAGTGACAATCAGAATAATTCAAACATTTGAAGCTACAATTGAAATCTCATCGGATTTTCTCCTATTTTTTTTTTTTTTTGCTTGGCAAAATACAACCTGACACATGAGCATTGTATCATACTGACTCAGTTATGAAAAACACATTTAAAACATGATATTAATGCAAATAGTTGATGAGCAACAATCAGGAAATTTGTAAAGTCATAATGCATTTTGGTGTATCTCTGCTGTTTAATGTTGCATTTAAATACATGCATGAGTACTCTGATTAGTACTTGGTCAATCATTTAATACTTAAAAGGAAAGGGTGAAAAAAACTCCTCAACTTGCATAACTAATGAAAAAAATCATGCAGTGACAGAACATCCCCTTGTGTGTGGAGAGAAGATGTGATTGTTTTTCTTGATCTGTTCCTTTTGTAATGTACATTCTTCCCTGTCAGATTTTATTATGAACTTGGCATGGCCTGATTACTTTTATTTCCATCTTAACAACTTTTTACCCAACTTCTTTAAGTTTGATAATATGGACAACATGTTTTTAAGTTCCAGACCTTTAAAACATGGATTTGGCTTAAGTTTATATTTTTAAATTTAGGAAGCTGAAGAAAGTGAGGGTTCTGGTTCATCTGATGAAGAGGAAGAGTGGAGAAGTGACAAGAAAAGCAACAGTAATAGTTCTAGGTAAAGTGAAAAACACATCCCATAATGAGTTTCATTTGAATGTTGACAAATTAAGAGTTATATGAAAGCTCTGTTGTGCTTCAGAGGTGATCATTTAATAATAATAATCATATAAGGTAGCATTCATATACCTCACTGACATTATATTGTTATTTACTGTTGCATTTCACCAAAATATTTCTATTTTTTTAATGTAACTCTAAGTGTCTCTGGTTTTTTTTGCTGTATGGCAAAGAGGGATGGGAGTCTGGAATATTTCTACAGTATGTTTTGGTCTGGTTTTCTACAGGAAAAAAAATATTCCAGATATTTTTCTGGAATATTTCTACAGTATTTTTTGGTCTGCAGGGATGAAAGATTTTGTTTGGGAAATTTTTTTTCCCAATTTCATTTGGGGAACTTTTTGGGTTTTTTTTCCTTGCTCTTAAAAATTGTTTTGAAAAATCTGAATTTTTAAAAGTTTCTCGTTTTATGTAGAACTGTTGTTATAAGTTATAAATCACTTCCTTGTGGCTATTTTAGATACTCTTTTAGAATTCTTTAGTGCTAGAAATAAAATATGCTCAGAGAGAGTAATGGTACTCAGAGATCCACTCAGAGTGGATGTGTAGCTGAAATTTGGATAAGTGTAAAGAATTTAGGCAGCATTTGGTATGTATATTCCTTAGGGAGGACCCTTAATTAGTCCAGAATTCCATTGCACATATTTCTTGACTAAAATTACTGATTTTAGAATTCACCAGATTTTAGTTGCTTAACGAAATGTGCTTTGAATCACTGGATTCTCCCCAAAATTCACGTTAAGCTTCAAGTAAAGTAACGGCTCCAAGTGGTCAAGGTGATTGTGAAGCTGCTTTCAGCAGCACCTGCTGTTGTTATTTTGCTGAGGGAGCTGGGTGGTGAGCAGCAGCGAGAGCTGGGCTGTGTCTGTGTTTGCCTGCCCTGTGCACAGCGACTCCTCGAGCCGATACTCGGACTGGATCGCGGACGCGGGCATCAACCTGCAGCCGCCGGTGCGCAGCTCGCGCAGGAACGCGCTGCGCTACTGCAGCACCTCCGAGGACGACGTGTCCGCCGAGAAATCCTCTCCTCCCAAGAGGAGAAGGAGGAAGAGGAGGAAAAAACCCAAGCCTAAAAAGCAGGAAGAGGTACGGTTTTCTTTTTGTTGAATAGCTGCTGGTAAAGTCCGGGCTAAGGAAGCCAAAAGGGTTTTTGTATAATATGCATGAATGTTTAATTCGGCCGTGTGGTGAGATGTTCAGGGCCAGGGCACACACACGTTCAGGGGCCAGGGGGCTGCCCTCATCTTGGGCCAGTACAAGGGTGAGGGCCAGTCAGGGAAACGGGAGGGACTGGCTCAGGAACACCTCAGTTCACACAGAGGAACAGGGGAAGGAGCCAGTGGAGTCTAACTTAGGAGATGCCCCCAGGGCTGTCAGGGCCTCCAGCTGGTCAGAGTGACCCCAAGAAAAGTTGGAAAGTCTCTTTTCCCAGCCTGGCAGTTGAAGAAGGAGTCAGAGCTCTTCAGTTCTCAGTCTCAAGGTTGTTTATTGTTCCTTATCTATAAAATTCTTTCTCCTGCCCAGCTGAGGTCCATTCAGCAAGACAGTCCAGGCACTCTGCCTGCCCCCAGGGCACTGTTATGTCTTTATACTAAAAACTACCTGTACAATGTTTACAATTACTTCCCAATCCCTATCACCTATGTTAGACAGTGAGCTTCTACTCTAAACCAATCTCTAAGTGCCAACATCACAGCAGAAGATGGAGGCCAAGAAGAAGTAGAAAGGCTGGATATGCCCAGATCCCTCCATCTTGCCCCCTGAACCCCCATTCTAGAAACCCCAAAATCTTTTTTACCCTGTGATAAATTCACTGTCATTCTACTTAATTTGTCGTGGCTTGCTGATCTTCATCTAAGGTTGGTAACTTGCTCCAGGGGTCATAATCAAACCCACAGGGGCATGCTGGGTTCTGTGCCAGGGTCTCTGAGCCCCTGGCAGGGGTCTGGGCTGCTCAGGACAGCCAGAGGGGTGTCCTGGCTCCTGACACAGGGCTTCCACACTTTTTTTTTGGACATTTTTCATTTCTCTCTTAGAGGTTAGGTGTCTTGTTTAGAAACTGCTAAAATAATTGTTACTGCCATCAGCCAAGGATCTTTCTGTCAGCACACACAGGGAACATGGGATTGGTTTGAGACCATTCCCAGTGTGAGGGATCTGCTGATTTGTAGGGAAAAATCTGCATTTCCAGTGAAGGTGCTTTCATTTTCCCAGTGAAAAGGGTTCTCAAGGTTGATGGTGTTAAAGGGGAAATGTGTTCAATAAATACAGAATATCACTTTTCCCAAGGGATAGAACAAGGGGGGAGGCTTTAAACTGAAGGAGGGCAGGGTTAGGTTAGATTAGATTAGATTAGGGAGGAATTCTTGACTCTGAGGGTGATGAGGCACTGGGACATGTTGTCCCCATGTTGCCCTATCCCTGGAAATGTCCAAGGGCAGCTTGGCCAGGGCTTGGAGGAGCCTGGGATAGAGGAGGCAGTCCATGCTTATGGCAGGGCATGGAACAAGATGATCTTTGGTTTGGGTTGGAAGAGTCATTCTGTGACTCTATCATTTAACTGTCTAGTTTTTTACCTGTTCTAATGCATAGGGGACACAGTCACTGCATTGCTGGTAGCAGCTTATACTTAGGTTGAGTATTTAATTTTTTCATAAGTTGCAATAATTATTCTATTTTAAGCAACTGATTTTTAAGTTAATTTAAATTAATTACCTTCAGTTACAATAAGTACTGTTAGTTATTTTTCTCTCATAAAGGAGCAAACAAATTAATTTTTTAAGCCTGGGGTAATTTTGATGCATTTGGTCTGTTTTTCTCTGTACCCTTTCACTTCTTCCTAAGTAGAATCAGTTTCTTGCAGCTTGAATAATTTTTAATTGGGTACTGAGACTGTCATATAAATTATAAAACTTTCTGCTAAGGCCTGCATAATAATGACGTGCTCACTCAAATCTTCAGATAAGAAAGGAATGTTTAGTATTAGAATTACAAATACAGCTACAACTCAAAGCCTTGGAGGAATTCTGCTGATACTGTTTGGAAATGCTGTAGATTAGTCCTTTATAAGTGAAGCTGTTATCTGCCAAACCAGAATGGAATGATTTGTTTAGAATTCATGTCCATCATGTCTGATTTTGTGAAGGCTGATGCTGCAGCACAACCCCTGAACTTGGAGCTGTCCTATGACTGGCACCCTCCAGTGTGGATCACAGACACGGCTCTGCGAAGGTCCCCCTTTGTCCCTCAGATGGGGGACGAGGTAGGAACAAGGATGAAAATATTCCAGTGCCTGTGATTGTTATAATTGCTGAATTCAGGAAAACTGAATTCACTGTCTGGGCTGGTTGGGTGTTTTTTAGGTGATATATTTCCGACAAGGGCACGAAGCTTACATTGAAGCAGTGAGGAGAAATAACATTTATGAACTGAATCCACACAAGGAGCCTTGGAGAAAGGTGGTGCTTAGGGTAGGTCTACACTGAAGGTTCTGTGGGGTTGTAACAGAGTCTGTCACTGAGGAGTTCTATTATTCTGTTTGAAAAACATGGATTTGTGAGGTTACTAATGTATCCCTATGGAGAAAGTGTGTGCAATTATCAGATTGTCCTCAGAATTTTCTGTGGGAAGCCAAATGAGAGATCTGTGTTAAATCCTAAGGCTGCCAGACTGCTTTCCATTGAAATCTCAAATCTCATTTCAGTATTTTGCATGTGGGTACAGTTGGTTAATTCATGTTAAACTAACAGTTCTGTGCATGGTCCCTGAGACAAAACCTGCTGAAGCTGTTTGTTGTTCCCTGTAGGATCAGGAATTGGTAAAAATCGTTGGAATCAGATACGAGGTCGGTCCTCCCACGCTGTGTTGCCTCAAGCTTGCCTTTATAGATCATGCCACGGGGAAACACACAGACAAATCATTTTCCATCAGGTATGTGCAGTTTTAGCTTCCTGAAAAGTGTTTAAGAATATGTTCCTTTTCTTCCTAAAGCCCTGAGGCACAAATGAATGATGATTTTTTTAATCCAGATACCACGACATGCCCGACGTCATCGACTTCCTCATCTTACGTCAGTTCTACGACGAAGCCCGGCAGAGGAACTGGCAGGCCTGTAAGTGTGTGCTGAGTGCTGGGCTGAACAGTTCAGAAATCACAAATGTGTCCTTAGCTAATTGCTGCATGTGCTGTTTGTAGGGTCAAGAGTCAGAAATTGGAACCTTGGAGGGACTGCAGTAGATGTAAATAGTCACCAAAATATATATCCAGACTGTTCTGGTCCCTTTTTATTTTAAAGCTAAATAACAGACTTATATGTCAGTGAGTCTAGAATTCTATTATGGAGAGGAATCAAGCAATACAGTTATCAAAAGTTTTTCTGATTGCCTGTGGCAGCCACAGAGTGAAATGCTGCTCTCAGCAGAATGAATATCTGTGTTTGCTGCAGCCGACAGGTTCCGCTCCATTATTGACGATGCCTGGTGGTTTGGGACAGTGCTGGGTCAGGAGCCTTACCAGCCTCAGTATCCAGACAGTCACTTCCAGTGCTACAGTGTCAAGTGAGTACACAAAGATTTGATTTCCAATGTTATTGGAGGGCCTTTGCTCTCACACAACTGCCTCATTGCTATGGCAATGTATAAATTGTTCACTTCAATGATTTTACTCCTGGTATTGTCACTTCTTAATGGTCTTAAGTTGCTGCTGTAGCACAGTGTGGATATGTAATAGCTTGTGGCAGCTTGTTAATGAGTAGTAATATGGTAAAAGCAGTTGTTGACCTCTTCACATTTCCTGTACTGAGTAATTGTGTGTCCCTTCCACAAAGCAAGCAGTGCAGTTTTCTGTGAACATTAATTATTGGTCTGCACTGATAGTTGGTTTGGGGATGCTGAATCTCCTCTGTGGCTGCTGACATCAAGGTCCTTAATGCCTCAAGTCCTTACACTTTGTCTTTAACATTGTGCACCCTTTTTCATATCAACAAACAGGCCTTCACACAAAGGAGGGGAAGGGTAAACAAAGATATCTCTGGACTTCAGTGGTCAGACTCAAGTGTATTGACCTTGTCCTGCCCTGTGCAAACTGTCTGGAATTCACAGAATGGTTTGGGTTGGAGGGGACCCTGAAGATAGTCTTGTCCCTGGCCATAGGCAGGAACACCTTCTGCTGTCCCAGGTTACTCAGAGCTCCAAACACCCTGGCCTTGGACACTTGCAGGGATGAGGTAGCCACAACTTTGGGCAGCTTGTGTCAGGGCCTCACAATGGTCCTCAGAGTCAAGAATTTCTTTGGAGTATCTAATCTAACCATTCCCTCCTAGAGCTTAAGGCCATTCCCCCTTGTCCTTCACTCCATTGTGAAGGTCCCTCTCCAGCCTTCTTGGCACCTCCTCTCAGTGCCTAAAGGATAACTCTGGGGGTTTGGTTTCCCCAGCAAGGGAGGACTGTAAGGAGAACAAACAGTGAATATTCAATATGTCACCCTGGATTTTTAAGATTTTCTAAGCCTTCTGATGTTGACATTCTTGTAGTGAATTTTCTCACACACTTTCTGTAAATTTCTCATTGTTTTGCATTCCTTTATGGAGGAGGAGAGAGTTGATGGACTGTTGGTTTGACCAGTGGCATTGGAGAGGTGCCACTGTCACCCTCCAATCCACTGTCACTTTTGGAAAACTATAAATGTTGGAGTCAGAAAATAAACGGCCCCTTTTTCTCTTTCACCTTGAGAACGGTGTGAGCGTGTGTTCTTTTGTGTCCTATAGTGACATTCAATATTCCTATTTCCATCATGCCCTTAGATAATTCCCATGTCTTGTACAGTACATTTAACAGTCACACTTTGATTTTTGGAGAACTTCTTAATTGCTTTTTCACTCAAAGGCTTTTGAACCTGGTGCTCACCACAAAGAAGTGAAATTTTATAGCTAATAGACAGTCCACTGCCAAGGCTGTGTTACATGGTTTGGTTCCCTGTCTCATCTACTTGTCTTCTCTCTCAATGATTCTCTTTGGTGGGAAGGTTGAAGTAACCCCCAGAGTGAAATTCTTGCCTGGTACCTTCCCTTCCATATTCCATCCATTCCATTGTTTTGTTGTGTGCCACAGATGTTCCTTAGGAACAAGTTCAGGTGGGCTTTGGATTTTTCTTGGCCAATTCCAAATCAACTTTGCAGTCATGAACAAAAGCCTGGTGCCAATTTCCTGAGCTCCTTTCTCCTGTGAGACTTAAAGGATATTTCAATATTTTAATGCATCAGCCTTTAACAGAAAAGTCTAGAGCTGCTTTGAAGGAAGGAATGCTGTGTTCCTTAAGATCCTTTTGCAAAAGGACTTTATTCTATCTGGCTCTACTAGAGCAGAATCCTAGGATATGTCTAGGAAAATATCTGGAGTGTTAGACAGCTGTATTTAGGTTTTGTGACTTGGCTGGGTCTGTTGCTCTTTTTGTCACACTTCAGTTTATCACTGTTACTGTTGTATGGAAAAGAAATGAAGATAATTTTCAATTTTTTTGTTATTTTATTGGCAAGACAATAATAGGTGTTTGTGTAGAAGCAGCTTCATTTATTATGAGGTTGCATTACCTGGATAAGTGAACTTAAGCAGAACTAAGTGGGGCTTAAGCTGTACTAAACTCTTGATAAAGTCTTACATGCAAAATGATGAATTAATATTCCATTTGTGAATATCAGCAGCTTGTGAAGTACTGGACAGTAACTGGGGAGGAGAGCTGAACAGCTCAACCTTTAGGACTCTTAGTTGATAAAAATCAAACTGACTGAATGATCCAGGTTTTCCTAAGGCATTGGGAAACCCAAAGCAATGGAGAGCTGCTCTTGCCAGAGCAGGGGTTTAGTTACAAAATCCTCTGAGCATGGTCATTGCAGCTTGCAGTTGGTTTGAAATAATGCACAGGAGGCATTAGACCAAATATCTGAGATGATTCATGCATCAGAAATAGACCCAGGAATTTGGAGAGCCCTGACAGGAAACTGCTGGCAAAGCTGCAAAGCTCTGGAGGGAAATTGGTGAAGTGCAGTCTGATCTGTTGATTTCTGGGATGTGCTTGTAATCAAAAAGAAAACTGGGAATGTAAGGATTAACCCAGCTGTAGGAAAGATCCAGCACTCCATGTGTACAACATTCTGTGGCCTGTCTGTATCAGTGAGGTGTGAAGCTGATCCACTCAGACATTTCCTACCTTGGAAATAGCAAAATTCATTGGTATTTTATGGATTTTTAAAAACATGTAAAAATCTGCCCAACTGTGGTGGGATTTGGAGAAATCTCAGAATGATATTCACACCTCATAGTTCAGTATCAGAATATCCACATCTATCAAGAGCACCTGTGTTGCTTTTGTTTTGTCTTGAACCTTAATTAACTTCAGTTTCTTCATTTTATATTCATTATTTTCTTTGTCTTAATGCCCTCTGCCTCATAAATGGAAGTGCTGACATGAAATGTCTCACTTCCTGTTCTTCCTTAATCCATGGACTTGCACAACTCCTGATGTGATCAGCAAAAAAAATCTCTTGTGTTTTTTTTTTCAAATCTTCCCCCTGATGTTATCTCACTTTTCCAAATGTGCAGCTTATTTTTCTTCATCTTCTTGATACAGGCTTTATAAAATTGATTTATGTATTGGGTAAATTGCATACAGCCAAAATCAGGAGCACAGTTTTAACCTGAAATTGATTATGAAGAATGTTTCCTTTTTTGCTGTTTGCAAACCAATGCCTTTGTTTCTCTACATGTTTATACAGAGTATTTTGTCAATACCTACAAATAGCTGTAATTTAAATGTGCTTATAGCTGAGATTTAAATATGCTTGGAGTCAAAATAACTTTAAATTATTATTGTATTTTTTTTTTACTTGGTGAATCAGATGGGACAATGGTGAAATTGAAAAGCTGAGCCCGTGGGACATGGAACCAGTCCCTGATAATGGTAGGTAAAAACCCTTTAATAAAACAGCTTCATGTGCTTCTCCCTCTTTCCAGTTCCTTTGTTTCATGCAGGTAGTGGACCTGAGGTGATTCCTGTCTTAAAGACAGTTTTGATTCAGATTTAGTGAAATAATTTTAATATACTTAATTTTTTTTTTCCTTTTACATCTTCAGAACAATTTTTTAAAAAAATAGTTTAAATGTGTAGCTCTGACTTAGGAAATAAAACCTGCTACTTCCAAATGGCAGGTTTTAAAAAACATCTCAAGTTTCAAAATATGAATTTGTTGTAATATACTATAATACAAGGGGGTGTAAGAAGAATATAAATAAAATAATTTCCAGTCAGCAAACCCTTACTGCACATAGTTTAAAACCAACAATTTATAAAGTTTGCTGGTCAAATCCAGATTATCTGTAATAAAAAGAGTGGCATTTGTTGTTTGTCTTAATATTTCACTTTTCAGTACCAGCTGGGAGTGGGGAGGAATGTTTGGGAGATACTGAGGAAGTAGTTACTGAATAAGCTCTCAAAAAGGTAATAAACTTAATTCAAAACTGCAGGAAAACTGAATTTAAAACATTTTGCTGTTAGTATCCATTTAGTAGATTTTTTTCCCCACAGCCTTAGCATTAAGCTCTACTTCAAGGCAAGATTTTTGCTGTCAGTTGCAAGCCCACGATTATTTAATAACTGCGAGTGCTCAACAATTGATCTTACTCTCACTCCTTCCCCAATGTGCTGTCTGTAGTTGATCAGCCTGAGGAGTTAGGAGCAAGTGTCTCTGTGACTTTGGAGGAGGTGGAGAAGCTGCTGTACAAACCCCAGGAGGGGGAGTGGGGGATGAAGTCCCGTGATGAGGCCTGTGAGCGGATTATCCGTGGCATTGATCAGCTCATGACTCTTGGTGAGTGGGAGCTGAGCTTCAGGTGCTTTTCTCCTGATGGTGCATTTATAAACAGCCTGGAATATCCATGGCATCCTTTAAAAATTCCCTGTCATAAAGTACTCGAATGAGAAAATGTTTTTCTGTGCAGCTCTTTGTGTTGGTACTGAGATCTTGGTGATTTTGTACATCATGGCTTTTGTAACACCCAGCTCATTTGTCATGGACCTGCAGGCTTTGAGATCTTGATGATTTTGTATATCATGGCTTTTGTAACACCCAGCTCATTTGTCATGGACCTGCAGGCTTTGAAATAAAATCCCAGAATGGCTTGGATTGGGAGGGACCTGAAAACCAGCCCAGTTCCTGCCAGGGCAGGAATATTAATCTCTCTTTGATTTTTCTTTTAATTTTTCTTCTTTGCAATATGCTTATTCAGCTCCAAATCTGAAGCCACATCTTGATATGAAACAGTTTTCTAGGGCATTATTCTCAGAAATGGCATCAGAAATGGGAGATGTGGAGTGCTGGCCTATTGCAGAAGTCAAGGATGATCCTAAGAATCAGCAGGAAGAGGATCATGGACTTTGCTGAGTTCAAAAGTGCCCTCATAGTGCTTTATAACTTTGGCAATGTGTTGTGCCATGAGGGAATGAAATGAAGATGTTACCAAGGCTTTGTCTCACAAAGGTTTATTGGTTCACTGGGCAGTAATCAAAAGGAGAAGGAAGAAAAAGGGAAAACAACAAAACTTCCTGTGCTAAAAAGAGAAACCAAGGCAGGAGAGTTGTAGAATCATGGGATGGATTGAGTTGGAAAGAATCTTAAAAATCATCCCATCCCACCCCTGCCCTGGCAGGGACACCTCCCACTGTCCCAGGCTGCTCCAGCCCCAGTGTCCAACCTGGCCTTGAGCACTGCCAGGGATCCAGGGGTGGAATTCCATCCCAGCCCCTGCCCACCCTGCCAGGGAACAATTCCTCATTGCCAAGATCCCATCCATCCCTGCTCTCTGCCAGTCTGAAGCCATTCCCTGTGTGCTGCCACTCCATCCCTGGAAATTGTCTCTTTGCTATCAGCTCCTTCAGGCCCTGAAGGCCAGAGATGAAGTCAAGCAGTTCAATGTTGCTGTTGTTGCTGTTTTTACCCAGACATCTCAGCAGCTTTTGCTGGCCCCGTGGACCTGTGCACGTACCCCAAGTACTGCACGGTGATCGCGTACCCCACGGACCTGAACACCATCCGCACCCGCCTGGCCAACCGCTTCTACAGGTCAGTGCTGCAGCCCTGGCACCCCTGCTCTGAGAAAGTCACTCTTTGAAACCACCAAATAGCAAAAAAAAACTCCCTGAAGTTATTTAAATTCAGATTTTGAAGTGCTGTCCTTGAGTTACCGTGAACGTGAAGAAGGTTAAGCTGTTGCTGTTTTCAGAAATGAGATTAAACACAAGAGGTGAAATGTTAAATCTGTACAGCAGCATTTGAAATGATAAAATCTTACACTCTTCCCTCTGTTTCCTCTGTAATGATGACAGAGCTCTGGTTTGATGGGTGTGCTGGTCAGCCATAGCTTGAAAATAAATTTAGGTATGTTCTTCATCTGGACATGCATTCAGTGTGTCTGTAAATACAGTGAAGAGGCATTAATAGTGATTCTCCTCCTGTGTACGATGGATAAAATGTTTTGGGAAATAATTGGAAATTCTGTAGGTGAAGAACTGCAGACTTGGGGGATCTCTGCTTCACAGGTATAAGGAATTGGGAAAATGAGTTGTAAAAATGAAATTACAAGTTTGTGGCAACTCATTTCTATCAAGTTATAATTTCAATTTGTAACAGTTTGTCAAATCTTGTTTTTAAGATTTTAAAACTGTCATTTTACAGGGGGCACTGTTTTCAGTGGTCAGTTGGCCTCAAAGCAAGGTCTTTAAGGGAAAACAGAAAGGGACATCATATCTGGGATTCCTTAAAAATGTAATTGGACAAAGCTCTTGTCACTCCTTTTTAATTGTTTGTGCTTTGAATTTATGCATTAAAAGTTCCTCAGATATGACTCAACTTGTGTTCCATTTCTCAGGCCTGTGTAACAAGCAGCTTCTGATATTTCCTGAAGAAATATGATAATTTAGTGATTCAATTTTACTCTTTCCTCTCCTTTTAAATAAATCAAATATAAGCTTTTTAAAAATGCTTGTGTTTTTAAAGATTCCAGGAAATCCACAGTCCTTGGGATGATTTCTGTGATATTTTATGATTTAGGGATAACAACTGCTGGTGCTTACTTGGCCAGCTGCATTAACTGAGTTTATGTCACAAACTGCCTAAGGATGAATTAGCAATAATGAGCTGGGAAATGAATGATCAAAGCTGTGCATTACTGGTTCTGCTTCCTTGGGTTTTCCATGTGAAGGAAAAGTTTGAGACTGCCTAAAGGGACATCAAACAGAGGACATTTAAATCTAATATGGAGAGAAAATTACAGAGATGATAATTTCTGCTGGTTTTAAGTTTTTCTTTAGTATTAAAGGTGCAATATTTTCTAATTTGAAGGAGAATTTCAGCATTGGTTTGGGAAGTCAGATACATTGAAAGCAATGCCAGAACCTTCAATGAGCCTGGGAGTGCTATTGCCAGAGCTGCAAAAAAAATCACCACTCAGCTCCTGAAGTTTATCAAGTAAGTGGCATTTTAATCTAAATAATGCTTGAATCCTGGTGCTTCTGAACAGTGGAGAGTAAAAACAGCTCAGGATCCCTTTGTGGTGAGCCCTGCTTTGACTCTTCCAGTGCCCTGGAAGGACAGGTGTCTAATTCTGAGTGTTACCTTAAACACTGACATGTTTAGTTTAGAGACATTTTACCTTTTTCCCTGGTGTTACAGTCCCAAAATGTCACTTGAGATTGAGGATGTTAAATAGCTCAGCCTGTGAAATGTGACTGTGCTGTCCTGTGTAGAAATTCCTGTTGTAGCTTGTCTGACTTAATTGAAAGGTTAAAAGAAACTGAGAGGTTTATTTTGAACTGAGTGTGAGCAGCCTTCCTACAGCTGGGCAGGCCCCTTTCAAATCCCTAATCCTGATTTTTATATTCCATTTAATACTCAGTTACTGTCTTCCCTTTTATGTGGAGCACTTGCTTGTGGCTGAGTTGAATTTAGAAAACAACAACAGCTCTGCTTTTGCTGTTCCAGTAACAGAGATTTCATTGCATTGCAGTGACCAGGACTGTACAAATATTTTTGAATTATGTAGCACAACAGATGATGAGCAAGATTGTCATGATGCTGATCTGGTGAGTTCTGGGCTTTTTGGGGAAAATTCCAGTAACTTATGGTGGTAAGAAAATACCAGCAACCTTCAAATATTGTTGGTAAAATTGCTGAGTTATTTACATAGCTAATACCAACATGGACTATATTAGGAATTTTTAGGAATGTTTTATGTCATTTATTATCAGTGAATTGCATTACTGGTAATATTTAGTGACTGAAGTTCAAAGCTGTTGAGTAACTTGTAATTGCAATTTCTGATGGTGGTTTTTCCTTTTCCTCAAACCACTGAAGATTCCAGACTCCAGCTCTTGTCCTTATCTAGGATATTGTTTTCCAAATCTCCCAGATGCTGTGTTGTATTTTTTTATGCTCATTTTTTGTCTTACTGACAGAATTAAGAAGAAAATTTCATTTTACCACAGTTTCAAATCTAATGACACTTTTAGCTCCATCACCTATTTTTTCCTACATTACTTTTAAGATAATTGATTTTATTTTGTACAGGATGATGAAAAATGTGTTCCAAGAACATCATACAGAAGAAGAAAAGTGAGTTGGCCAATCTTTACCTTATAAACCAAATCAGGTTGAATTTTTTCTTGCTGTATTAAAGTAATATTTTTCCTAACTTTTTTTTTTTCCCCTTAAGGGACGGGGTTTAAAAAAAGGGAAAAACCTGAAAAGTGGCTATGATGAAAACTGTTGGAAGAAGCAGTGCATGGAACTGGTGAATTTAATTTTCCAGTGTGAGGATTCTGAACCTTTCAGGCAGCCAGTTGATTTGGATCAATATCCTGTAAGTTGTACTTGATAAACTTCATAGATTCTTCTTTTCTTGCTGCCTTACTGTGCTTTGTAAGGGGATTATTTTAGAAAAATATGTGCTTTCTTAATTAAAATGAGTATCTTGAAGGTCTAAAATCTGTTTACTGAGCCTGAGCTATGAATTTGATTTTTTCCCTCTCTTTTAGCTGTTCATGACAATCTTACTCCCCCCTCAGTCTCTTTTTTTTCTCTAAAAACCCAACAAATTTAATCTAAAGGAAAAAAATTCTTTATGGCACATAACTTCTTCTGGTGACTCCACATTTTGAGTTTGAGTCTCACTTCAGGGTTTAAAAACATCTTGAGGTTCTCTAAAGAAACAAGAATGGGAGAGAAAGAGATATTGAGGTGTTTTGATGGGGTTTGATTTGGGGTTTTCTGTGTGGTTGTTGTGTTATGGGGCTTTTTTTTTTGCTGTTTTTTATAATAGATCTGTTGTTTCTCACAGTAAAATTCATGGGATAATGAAAAGGAGATTTTAAATCAAACTGTCTCAGCAAAAGTTCTGCTTTCTGCTGTGGTGCTTCTCTTTCCACTGCTGCTGAAGATCATTTGTGTAACTTTAGCTGCTCCTAAATGACAAATAAAATTCAAAAGGTTTTTTTTTTTTTCCTTAATACTTTCACAGATTTTTTTTTTTTTCATATTTTTTATAGGATTACAGACATATTATAGACACTCCAATGGATTTTGGTACAGTGAAGGAAACCCTGGAAGCTGGGAATTATGACACTCCAATGGAACTGTGCAAAGATATCAGACTGATATTCAGTAATGCAAAATCTTATACTCCAAACAAAAAGTCAAAGGTAGCTGTTACTATCTGAGGGTTTGTCAATGTCTTAATGAAATAAATCTTATTTTGCAGTTTGTTTATCAGTACTTTTGATCAAGCTGCTGGTTGGGTAGATAGTGGGGAGAAATAGGACAAAAATATTTAATATGTTAATTTCCTGTTTATTTGGTGTTATACAGAGGACTGCCTGTGCTTTTCCTATTGCTTTCTGTGCAGATTTTGATATTACAGGTATTAGTCTTGGATCAAAGGCTCTGTTGTTAATAGACAGCACTTCCTTACCCAGATTTACAGTATGACCTTGAGGTTGTCAGCGCTGTTTGAAGAGAAAATCCGAAGAATTGTTTCAGATTTCAAAAATGGGCAGAAACAGAATGAGAAGCTAAGGAGAAACCAGAGGTACACGAGAAGATTCAATAATCAAAGCTCAGTGCAGCAGCCCACCAAAATGCTCAGGTAATCAAATCATGGAGGTGTAAAGATCTATCTCAGCTGACTGATACCATATTGACTCTCACATTTAGTCTGTGAAGAGGGGAACAACTGATTTTTTAAATGATTTATAACCCCAGTGAGACTTTCTATAACTTTCATGCAGTAGGAAAAATATGTTAAAAAAACAGGGGCTTTTTTATAGTATAAAACTGAGAAATACCTGGAGACAGAAGAGTAGAAAAGGTTGAGCTTTTCTTTAATATTTGAATCAGAAAATCAATATTTAAGTAAAATAATGAGGAATGAAACAAATTTTTACTTACTAGATAGATTACAAACATGGAAATCTGCATTAATTACATATTTTGTTACATACAGAATACAGCCAGTCCTATGGAATTCCTAGAAATTGTCACTTGCTGTAGCATTCAGTTGGGAGCCAGATTTGCCTTTTCTCTTTTGAAGGCAAACAAGCTTTGACTTTTGACACAATTGCTGTTTGACATGATTAACTCCTGTTCTTAATCTGCATGTGGGACAAAATACAAAAGCTAAATGTGGTAAATTACTGAAACTGAGCTCTTCCCTTCTGCTGCTGTCCACTCTTCCTTCTCTGGCAGGGAAAGGGTGGGAGTAAGAGTTTTAATTAAAAAAAAAAGAAAAAAAACCTAAACTAAAACAAACAAAAAAACCAAAACAAAACAAAAAAAAAAACCCAACAAACCCCAAAGTAATTTAGGGGGATTACTTTTATACTTTAAAATAACCACGCACCAGCACAGGCAGAAGTTGTCATTTGAATCTCATTTGTGCTCAAATCTGGAGAATTGTGACTGTTCAGTGGGGCACTGCAGAAGTGAGGGATAACAGAAATTACACACCTTGTGCACCTGGATGAATGTCTGAAAAGCTTCAATGTAAAGAAAAAACTGACAAAAAAACAGTTTAGTAGGGGAAAATAATGGACTGAGCAGGATGGAATGTCAGTCCTATGGAATTCCTAGAAATTGTCACCTGCTGTAGCATTCAGCTGGGAGCCAGATTTGCCTTTTCTCTTTTGAAGGCAAAGAAGCTTTTGACACAATTGCTGTTTGACATGATTAACTCCTGTTCTTAATGTGCATGTGGGACAAAATACAAAATCTAAGTGTGGTAAATTACTGAAACTGAGCTCTTCCCTTCTGCTGCTGTCCACTCTTCCTTCTCTGGCAGGGAAAGGGTGGGAGTAAGAGTTTTAATTTGAAAAAAAAAAGACAAAAAAACTAAACTAAAACAAAACAAAAAAACCAAAACAAAAAAGCAAAAAAAAAAAAACAAAAAAACAAAAACAACAAACCCCAAAGTAATTTAGGGGGATTACTTTTATACTTTAAAATAACCACGCACCAGCACAGGCAGAAGTTGTCATTTGAATCTCATTTGTGCTCAAATCTGGAGAATTGTGTGTGACTGCTCAGTGGGGCACTGCAGAAGTGAGGGATAACAGAAATTACACACCTTGTGCACCTGGATGAATGTCTGAAAAGCTTCAATGTAAAGAAAAAACTGACAAAAATCCAGTTTAGTAGGGGAAAATAATGGACTGAGCAGGATGGAATGTCAGTCCTATGGAATTCCTAGAAATTGTCACTTGCTGTAGCATTCAGCTGGGAGCCAGATTTGCCTTTTCTCTTTTGAAGGCAAACAAGCTTTGACTTTTGACACAATTGCTGTTTGACATGATTAACTCCTGTTCTTAATCTGCATGTGGGACAAAATACAAAAGCTAAATGTGGTAAATTACTGAAACTGAGCTCTTCCCTTCTGCTGCTGTCCACTCTTCCTTCTCTGGCAGGGAAAGGGTGGGAGTAAGTTTTAATTTAAAAAAAAAAAACAAGAAAAAACTAAAGTAAAACAAAACAAAAACAAACAAACAAACAAAAAAAAAAAAGCCAAAAAAAACCCCAACAAACCCCAAAGTAATTTAGGAGGATTACTTTTATACTTTAAAATAACCACGCACCAGCACAGGCAGAAGTTGTCATTTGAATCTCATTTGTGCTCACATCTGGAGAATTGTGTGTGACTGTTCAGTGGGGCACTGCAGAAGGGAGGGATAACAGAAATTACACACCTTGTGCACCTGGATGAATGTCTGAAAAGCTTCAATGTAAAGAAAAAACTGACAAAAATCCAGTTTTGTAGGTGAAAATAATGGACTGAGCAGGATGGCAGGTAGCACTCAGGCATGTGGAGGTAAGGAAGGATCAAATTAGTGAAGTTTTCTTTATTTTAAACAGTGAACTGTAGGGTTCCACCTTCTGTGTGTGTTGGCAACTCAGTTTATGTGGAATAATAATAATAATAATAATAATAATAATAATAATAATAATAATAATAATAATAATAATAATAATAATAATAATAATAATAATAATAATTGCCTGGATGACATTTAGTTGGAGGCTCATGTGCACCTGACCAGAGGCTGGGAATCCAACAGGAATTGAGGCTGCTGCAGTGAAAATAAGAGAAGATGAATTGTCTGGAGGACATCCACCATTAAATTCTGTTTCTCAGAGCAGACTAAGATTGTCTCCTCTTGTATGACTGCCCTAGGAGTACAGACTGTTATTTAGTGAAAGTAAAATGTTTTTAATGTTTATGTTCACGTTTATCCTTTCCAGAGTTAAAACTGTCCCACCCACATTAGCTCATAAAACCCTCCCAGAAATACAAAATCAAATGTTGTTAAAATACATCATTGCCTTCTCTCTCCTACTTTCACTCTCCAGAAATCTGAAGCAGAAACCACTCAAGTCTCAGGCCAAACTTGAATCTGAGCAGGAAGATGCTTTTCCTCAGCCTACCTCAAGCAGAGCTGCCTGTGTCACAAGCCATAAACCCAGCCCTGGCTCCTACCACCAGAGTTCCTCAGGAGAATCCTCAGACTCTGCCTGCCTGGCATCCTTTGAGAGGAATGGGAAGGCCAGGTCCACACCACTGACCAATTGTTCTGCTTTATCATCAGGTCAGCATTTACAATTGCTGCAATTTGCACTCTCTGCTGTTAAATGAGCTTTCTCTTTTTAACGTGGAATTTTTTTCCACAAAGTTTAGGTTGTTTTTGTGTGATGCACAATTTTGTTTTACTGGATTTTGGACACTTAGATTATTTACAGTGAATGTTATAAAAATATTTGTGTACTTCACATAATTTTTTGCTTTGAAATAGTGTAGAATACAGTAAATTTATTAATGAAGAAATTTGTCAACAGGAAAGCATAGAGTGATAATTGATATTATATAAAATACAGGTTGTATGCCCATATATGTATATTTATATTCTATAAAACTTCTTACAGAGTATTTGATAATTGATATTATATAAAATACAGGTTGTATGCCCATATATGTATATTTATATTCTATAAAACTTCTAATAGAGTATTTGATAATTGATATTATATAAAATACAGGTTGTATGCCCATATATGTATATTTATATTCTATAAAACTTCTTACAGAGTATTTGATAATTGATATTATATAAAATACAGGTTGTATGCCTATATATGTATATATATGTTATATAAAACTTCTTATCCACAATCAGCAAATGACAGAAGTTCCCTGACACTATTAAGCTTTTCCTTTTCCCCTACACCTCACCTTGCAAAAATTCAGCTTATTTCAAAGAATAAGAATGCAAGTTCTGGTAAAATCTGTTAGAAAATGTTCTGTGTTTTGGGTTTTTGTTTTTTTAACATGCTTTTCACTTAAATCTGGTGTTTGAAAAGAGTTGTTTTATTTTAATTGAAGTTTTAAATACAGGTTAAAGAAGCTTCCTGTCACTGAACACTGTATGAACATGGATTTTGTTGAGGTATCAGTTTGATATTCAGGCATGAGAATGCATTTTAAGATAATGTGAGAAAACTGACGATTCCAGGATCAGCAAAATGTAACTCTTAACTGGAAGCCCTTTAAAATTCTAACTACCAGTTGCTTTTTTTTTAACAGAGAGTGAAATAGAAGGTTCTGGGGTTTCTTCATCTTCTTCCTCTTCATCTTCATCCTCCTCAAGCAGCTCAGAAGACAGCAAAGGCTGTGCTGGGGCTCCTGTGTCCCCCTCTGCCCTGCACAACGGGGTGTGCAGGAGGAACAGCAGTCGCAGGCTGACTCGGAACCGAGCTGCTCCGAGGAAACAGACAGGTGGGGCCAGCAGTGCCTTGTGAGCAGCAAGAGAAATCCACATTATTTTATTGCTATATTTATATTTATGAAAAAGAACTGAGTGCAGTTAGTATTTTTTATATATTTATATTTATGAAAAAGAACTGAGTGCAGTTAGTATTTTTTATATATTTATATTTATAAAAAATACCTGAGTGCAGTTAGTATTTTTTATATATTTATATTTATGAAAAATACCTGAGTGCAGTTAGTATTTTTTATATATTTATATTTATAAAAAATACCTGAGTGCAGTTAGTATTTTTTATATATTTATATTTATAAAAAAGAACTGAGTGCAGTTAGTATTTTTTATATATTTATATTTATAAAAAAGAACTGAGTGCAGTTAGTAGTTTTATATATTTATATTTATGAACAAGAACTGAGTGCAGTTAGTATTTTTTATATATTTATATTTATGAAAAAGAACTGAGTGCAGTTAGTGTTTTTAATATATTTATATTTATGAAAAAGAACTGAGTGCAGTTAGTATTTTTTATATATTTATATTTATAAAAAATAACTGAGTGCAGTTAGTAGTTTTATATATTTATAAAAAAGAACTGAGTGCAGTTAGTATTTTTTATATATTTATATTTATGAAAAAGAACTGAGTGCAGTTAGTATTTTTTATATATTTATATTTATGAAAAAGAACTGAGTGCAGTTAGTATTTTTTATATATTTATGAAAAAGAACTGAGTACAGTTAGTATTTTTTATATATATTTATGAAAAAGAACTGAATGCAGTTAGTATTTTTTTAAATTGTTGTATGTGTAAGATACTCTTTTTTTTTTTTATTGGTGCTAATTTTGAAGCTCTCAAATACTACATTCAACTTTAAAAAGATTTTTTCATGACTAGGGGAAGAGGGCAGAAACCAAGAGCCTGGTGGAGAGAGGGAATGACTTGCAACATTTTCTTAAGAAAAAAAAACAAAACCAGAATGAATCTGAAATTTATGACAGCAAAAGCACCCGACTGTCACTAGGGCTTATATTTCATGCATGTCTGTGGGTTGAACCTGCCCAGTTTTGACAAGGTTTCAAAGCTGCTGTTTCATATTTAAGGTATTAATCCCTGCTTTCCTTTGCAGGAACGCTCCTGCAGGAGAACGGGAATACAAGGAAAACAGTCAGGAAAAAGTTATATGGAAGTGACTCTGAAAATACTTCAGCAATGGCATCTGAGTCCCTGAGCAACAGCAAGGGCAGGCACAGGAAAACCCCCCGCAGGAGTGCTGCTGTGGCTGCCAACAAGCTGAGGCTGATGAGTGATGTGGAGGAAGAGGTGTCGAGCTCGGAGAGCATCGGGATCTGCAGGAACAGGAAGCTGCCGCACCGCAACGCCTCGGCCGCCGCCAGGAGGATGCTGCTGGAAGGCTCCGAGGATGAGGCAGGCCTGAAGTCTGAGAGTGACAAAGAAATGGAAGAGCAGCTCACCAAGAGGAAAGCTCTTCCTCAGCCTGGCTGCTCTGCTCCACGAAGGAAATTTGTCAGCGAATCTGAGAATGGAAGTTCGGATTCTGAGCCCGACACGCAGAGCAAGCAGAAGAGCTGGCAGAGCAACGGGCACAAACAGCTCCGGGGCCCTGGCTGCTCTGTGTCTCCCAAAGTGAAAAGTCCCACCTTAGACTTCTCAGAGGAGGACTCCAAAAGCCATAATTCTGAGGATGGGGGCAGCCAAAAGGTTTCAGAGCAGTCAACACCTGCCCATCACAAGCCTGCAGTGAGCAATTCTGAGGATGAGGCGGACTCTGAGTCGGACAGGTGGAACGGCAGGAAAGCCTCTGGGCTGCAGCTGTCTCCTCCTTTAAAAAAAGCAAAGGTCTTGAGTGATCTGGAGGACACAGCAGAATCTGAAGCAGAAACCAGAGAGGAGGAGAAGAGTTTTGTGTGGGAGAGCTTGGTGCCCACTAAGATTGTGAGGAGTTCCAAATCTGGAGCTGCCTCCAGCTTCCATCGCTCTTCTGATTCAGACTCGGAGAGCGATTCCAATAACAGCAATTACTGTGAAACTTCTGCAAAAGCAAAGATGAGGAAGAGGAAAGGAAAAACAAAAATAGTTAAAAAAGGTAACTTTTTAAAAGTTAATTTCTCTATTTCTTAATACTGAGTAGATGACAGAGGAAATCTCCAGGAGAGCAGAGTGTTCTTTCTCTTTATCCAGCTCCTTGTTTTGAGGACAACCAAACCCTCTGGTGTGCAGTTCTGTTACCTTGCATTAATTTCCTGTTGAGATTTTCTGTGCTACAGCAGATTTACAACTGTTAGTTTCAGTTTGAAGTAACGTTATTGATAGTTTTCCAAAATGAATTTGATGGAAAGGTGTTTAAATTATTCTCACATCCATGGTGTGCACCAGAACCTGAAACTTGATTTGACTTTGAAATTTTATTTTGTCAATGATGTGCAGAGTCCTTAACACAAACAAGCACTTGGCAGAAGTAAGATTTATATTCCACTTGTTTCAGAAAGTGAAATTCTTTTATTTTTGTGTTTTATTCTGTAATTTTATCTGTCACTCAGATCTTTGTGTGGTGGCTCATCATGATTTAGAGAGTTGGTTTTGTTTGGTTTGTGTTTTTTTTTTTTTTAAACTTATGAGAATGATGCTGATGTTTATTAAACCAGGTCATATGCATTATGCCTTCATTTAATCAGGGAATTAGTCCTGATTTAGAATTTGAAAGACTATTCTGAGGGTTGTGTTTGGTGCAATCTTTCCAATCCTGTTAATATGCTTTAAGAATCTTAAGAAAATTATTGGTTTTCTAATTAATTACTGTCTGTTAAGATGACTCTGTCTTGACAGTTTGCCACAAGGAATATTTATTTACTTGTTCTGTCCCAAGATCTTGTATTTAATACATATATAGGGGCATACTTGTAGCGTTCCTATTTTTCAAATAAATATGTATTTTTTATATATATATATAAAACTGTAACTATATATGTGTATATACACTGCTCAATTAGCCAGCTAAACAATTTATGTGGAAGCTTTGCTTTGGTTATTTTTAATATATATATAATATAAATAATAGCTAATCTATTTTGATCTGTAGAACAGTCTGTATATAATCCTGTCATGTATATTATGTTATATATAATACATATTATAGGTATGTAGTGTTTAGCATGGGATTTTATATACCAGAGAAGATTGCAAGCAGAGTTTGCAGATAAATTGTGCCAATACCTTGTGGGCTGTAGTGCCCCCTGCAGCTGAGCTCAGGCTGGATTTTCCTGCCCAGTGTTCCAGCTCTGGAGTTTGGCCTGAGCTCCAGGACACCCTGATGAACCAAACTTTCACATCTTTGTGGCTTTTAGAAGCTCTTCCAGTTTCTGGGGGTGTAATGCTCCCTCTTTCTGCCTCTGCCACCTGGTTGTAGCTTTGCAGCTTTTATTTCTGGATGTTCGGTGGGGAATTTCAATACATTTTATTATAGATTTGTTCCAAATTTAAGATCTTGTATACAAAGTATAATTTTAATATTCTGGCAGTGTTGCAGGAAGGCTGGACTTCTTTATTCTTTAGCTTTGTGTTCCAGGTACTTAATAATATTGGAGGACAGTGTATAATATAAGATCTAACTCTTCTTTATTAGTCTGTGGATGAATTCAGCTTTCATACAGCATTTTGTAGTGTGCAGCAGAAATATGTTGTGCTTTGGCCATAAAATCACACAATACAACTACCACAAGTAGTAATACTCATGTATCATTTCTGGAGGCTCATAACAAAGAAATTAATTATCCTTTGAAAATGTAAAAATAGAAATATACTGGACTAATACATAAAATGATCTACCTTTAAATAAGGACCAGATTTGGTATATGAAGAGATTGTTAATATTGGTACTCAAGCTGGACATTTGAATTTATCCCTCATAATTTTTCCCTTTGTTTATATTTTTAAATTTACTTCAAGAACATTTGATTTTTTTTTAATTTATTCATCTGTATGAATTGTCTTATTTAGAAGGGAAACACTGATCTTCATAGTATATGATTTACACATGGAAATTTTTTTTAAAACACAGCATAAGTAAGTTCTATATTAATTTTAAAAACACTGAATGGAAGATTCACTGTTGACAGCAATCTGAGTGTTAAAGTCACTAAGGAGCTCTGAAGGGTTTTAATTTCTCCACCTGAAACCACCTAAAATTGAAATTTGAAATCTACATGAAATTTGCATCCACATGAAATACTATAGTTTCTTTTTTAGGATAAAAGGTCTAAAATGTGTAATTAATATTGCAACTTGTATTCTAGTAAGAAAAATGCAACTTTTAATGCTACAAGTATTACTAATATGACAGCATTTGTTTGGGAAGTGAGGGAGTTTGTGATTTCTGAGCTAATTAACAGGATGAGGCTAGAGAAAGCTCTTTTGAGGCCATGAAAAGGTTTGGAAGTGACAGTCTCAAGAGTTAAAAGTATCCCTGGGATACTGCTGGTATTTTTAGTAAAGAATTGAGATAAATTACACTTAACAGTTGAAATTCAACATTTATGTATTTCATTAAAAGTGGGAGCGTTTGGCCATATTAAATTAATAATTTCAGCAATGTAAGACACTAAAAAGAACTTTTCCATCTTCCTTTTGTAGAGCAAACATCAGAGGAGGCCAGCCAGAGTGCCAAGGTGCTGCGGAGCAGGACGTGCATCATCAACTACAAGAAGCACATCAGGGTGTGCAGCGTGGGGGAGAAGAAGAACCCCCGCAGGTGCGCCACGCTGGCAGCCAGCAAGATCAAGATCATGAGCGATGCCAAGGAGGAATTATCCAGCTCAGAGAGTGTTTACCCAGCCAGGAGGAACCGCAGGCAGCTCCAGGGCAGCGCGTCCTCAGCCTGCAGGAAGAAGCTGTTCAACAGCTCGGAGGTGGAGGCTTGTTCCAAGTCTGAAAATGAGAGCGAGCGGGTTCCTGGCAGGAAAAAACCTTCCTGCTCTGAATCTGCTGTTTCTAAAAGGAAATATATTATTGAGTCTGAGAATGAAAGGACTGACTCGGAGACAGAGACTCAGCAGCAGAGCGATAACCACGTGCAGCCACACGAACCCCTCTGTGCTGCAGCTCTGAATAATTTTGACTACGACTCCTCGGAGGAGAATTCCACAAACCACAGGGTAGAAAATGGGGGAAACTGGGGAATTTCTAGGCAGGCAGCTTCAGCCCACAACCATTGTACGAGTAACTCCGAAGAGGAGGTAGATTCTGACTTAGCTAAACTTGAAACTAAAAATACCAGAGTAGCAGCAAATAAAAAACCCAGAGCTTCTTTCAAGAGATTAAAACGGGTGGATGACTTCAAAGAAACGACAGAATCCAAAACTGGGGGGAAAAAAGAGGAGAAAAGCTCTGTCTCCGAGGATGTGGAAGCACCTGGGACTGCAGGAAGCTCCAAAACCAGCTTGCCCTGTTTCTCCTCGGACTCTGGAACCGACACCACCATCTGCAGCGACGCCACGGAAACCAGGAAGCGCAAGAGGAGATGCAAAGGCAGCAGGAGAGAAACCCTGAACCACGACTCCCTGAAGCCTTGCAGGAGGAGGCCGCAGCGCAGGAAGCGGCGGAAAGGCAGCCAGGAGCAGGACTCGGAGGAGCTGGAGTTCAGCCAGGCCCAGCGGCGGCAGCGGCGCTCCAAGATCCGCACGCGCAACGGCGGCCGGCGCACCGTGCGCTACCACGACGACGATGACGACAGAGCCCTCGAGGAGGCCGCCTGCGAAACGTAACCTTAACTAAAGGATAGCCAGCCCATCTCTTCTTTTTTGGTTTTTTGTTTTTCTGTTTATTTTTTTCTTTTTTTTTTTTTTTTTTGTTTTTTCTTTTTTTTTTAAATGATTAATAGCACTAGAACTCGTGATGGGTGCTGGCTCTTCTTTGTCCTACATTTCAGGGAATATATTTATATTTTTCTATGAAAAAGTTATGAATGTGATTAGATGATGACTTTCTCCTTTTTCATATTTTGACTTGCACTTGCCTGCCCATGTAGCAGCATTTAGCACAGATGCCAAAATGTGCCTCATTATAGGGGCAATTTTTTTGTCTTTACTGGTATTTTATTACATATAAACAAGAGTTAAAAAAATGTTAAAACACTGCAAACAGGTTAATAGCAGTATGTTGAGTATTATTGTTATGGGTGCTGCAATGAAATACTACCTAGGTCATGCAACATTCAAGAACAGATTTCAAACATCTCTAATGCTGTATGAAATCACCTACAATAGTAACAGGCTTCTAAATAATAGTACACACTCTAAAAACCTGGTGGATGCAAGCATTGCTTCCAAAGAGGGATGAAAAGGCTGATAACTTCTTCACAGCTGGATCCAGTGCAGGTGTGCAGTGCTCTGTACAAGCAGTTACCAGTGAAGAAGTTTATTTGCCACTTCCAGAGGCTTTGGTGAACAGAGGGTTCTGCTGACAGGTAGTACATCATTAATGTGACTTCTATACTGTAAACTTTTAAGATTATGAAATGCAGGTGAACTCTTGGGCCTAAAGGGTTTTTGTGTGTTTTCTTTATAAAATAGAAAAACAAACAAAAGGCTCGTTCTGTTTTCTTTTTGCGTGGAAAGCTTGAGGTGCAGGATTCCGACATTCCAGACCTTTTTTTGCTACGTTTCTGTTGTTCCTCCATATTTATAGTGTTTGAATGTTGGATTTTCCATTGATTAAACCTTACAAGTTTCTGAGCTTTGCAGTATATCTCCTGTTTTCACAATGTTTGAGGTGGCTCTCGTTGACAAGAAGGAAAATCTCTCCAGGAAAACACGTGGAAGTCCCTGGTTGAACACACAGCAACAACAAAACCACACAGCAGCTCTGAATTTTTAGTTTTCCCTGGAATTGTGCTGGTGGGAGCCCTACAATGGCTGCCCCCAGCCCAAAACCAGGGAATCTCTGCTCCTTCCCCACTCCAGGGTTCCTCCTCTTCTCTGTAGCTTCCTTTTCTCACACTTTGGAAAACTTGGTCATTCTTGAAAAGTGAAAATGAAAAACTTGGTCATTCTATCATTCAATAGAAGTTGTGACAGAGTACCAGATTTATCCCAACCTAGCTGATGTGAACTGAAAAATAGCAAGTTTGGGAGTTGGTTTTCCAGCAGGTTGGACTGGTAGTGGGATCCAGAAGGGTTTGGGGGTAAAAAAATCAGTGCAGCTGCACAATCCTGGTGAATAATGACAGAACTCTTTGTACAAATGGAAATCATCATGGAAAATGGGCTTCCATCAGCGACAGCCACTTCTCCAACACCCTCACTGACATTATTTGCATTTACCATCACCTTTGCTATGCCAGATGTTATTTCAGCACAGAGAAATACTCTTTTTTTTCTTCCTTAACACTTCCACGTGAAGTCCAAAAATAATTAAAATGGTTCTTGCCCCAGGAAGTTTTATTTAGAGCATAGTCTTTAATAGGATGCAGCAGAATTCTGTAAATTCAAGATAAATGTTTATCTGGATTCTTTATTTGGTTTCTGAAATACAAACACAGTTGTGTTTAGTGATAAAACTTTGAAGGTGGCTTTGTGTTTTCTTTGAGGAGCAAATTTTGTTATAAGATAGTAAGTCCATTATTTTTTCATATTTTCCATAAATTTGATTGTTTAGCAGCTGCTTATTCTCAGTGTTCTCTGGAGTGCATCCTCCAGTTTGGGTATAATTGAACTGAACCATCAGAGGTTTTATTAATTTTCAGTTTGAACAGCTAAAATTTGGCTGGTAGGTTTGTATTTTCATCTAGGCTTAGATTTACCAAGCTGGTTTTCTTTCAGGGGCTGTATTCTGTCACTGCAGACACAGGTTCATGATCCCTGAAAGCTGGGGAAGGTTCTGCCCTTGGGGCTGCAGATCCCACAGGGAGTCACTGCCTTAGGGACCCTGACACTTTCATTTTCAAGGCAAAGCATTTGCTGGGCTGTATTTCCTAATTTTATACACATAGTGGGAAGAGAAATTATTAAACTGGAAAGGTATTTTGAGTCTTTCACCCTTTAAGAGTTTATTTATTTTTAATTTATTAAAGGAGCATGGTGGCTGTTAGAGAGCTGGCAGTCCTTTCACCTTCCTTTAAGTGAGCATTTTTGGTTTTGTCTAGCTGTACTCAGGGAAGTGAAGTAGTAGACCTGTAAAAATAGGATCTTTATTTCATGTGACTTTTGGGGGCTGTTTTGGTTTGTTTTAGAGCAGGACCTGAGTCTGTGATGGTGGTCAGGCAGCACGAACAGAGGGAAACATTAAAGTGCAGGGCAGAATCGTAAAGGAATCAAATTGGTTCATGTTACAGGCTTTGATGATGTACATGTGTTAGTGGACCAAAGTAAAGCTGTACATACACCTGGGATGTGTGGATTCTCTGTTTGTATTTTCTATTTCTGCCAGAGTTGGGATTGAAGGTGCTTGAGGTGGTATTTCATGTTTGGACTCAAGCATTTATTACTTCTTATCAGTGAAACAGCCTCACAACCATGAGGTCTGCAGTTTTTCATTAGCAAGGCACAAAATGGCTAAATATCTTTTGTTACAGGGTCTTTTAAGGCTAAACTATCCAATTAAGAAATGACACTTAGATTATTTTGCTTTTTAACCCAATAACTGATCCCTCAAAGCCTGCAATGCAGACTTTTCTGTCCAATTACAAAATACCACCCAAACTCATGAAGAAGAAGGAAGAAGAAGGTGAAAAAGAACAACCTGCCTCAGCCCTAAAATCTCCATCTTGCTTCATATGTATTACTATATTCTAAAGCCCCAAACTCTAAGTTTTCCACCCTGTGATATTACACACCTCTAACCAACTACACACCCGTAATCCCAATGCTATTAATCAATTTTGGAAGTCTTCTCCACAGCCTCAGGTCAATTGCAGTACTCTTTTGTGAGTCTGTGCCTTTCAGCATAGAAAGTTTAAAATTCTCAGCATCCAGGATTCCAACAGAATTTCACTGTGCTCTTATTTGGATCAACCAGGCCAAGGGACAACAACCCCATGGGGCTGGAGAGCTGGAAAAGGCCCTGGGGGTTGCTGGGGACAGGGGCTGGACACGAGCCCAGGGGTGCCCAGGGGGGCAAGAGGCCCCTGGCAGCTGGGCTGGATGAGGAATTGTGTGTGCAGCAGGAGCAGGGCAGGGATTGTCCCTCTGTGCTGGCTCTGAGAGCCCCTCCAGGGCTGGGCCCAGTTCTGGCTGATGCCTTGTGCAGGCTGCCCCAGAGCAGAGGCTGGGCAGAACTAAAGAATAAAGCAGGGATTTATTCAAAGGCCTCCATGGATGCACCTTGGGCAGCACCAGAGCCCAGCCAGGGCTGCACCCAAGATGAACCAAAATGGCCCCAAAATGCACGGCCGGGCATGGGCTCTGTCCCTGGGATCAGTTCTGCTCCATTTGCATCTTGCAGTTCATTGTCCCATTCCAGCTTTAGCCCCTGCAGTCCCACCCTGCTTGTTTTTCTCTCTCCAGCCCACGGGGTTTGTGCTCTGGGGCTGAGATTTGGATCATTTGTCCTTGGTGCCCAGCTGGAGCAGGAATTATTTTGTCTCCCTGCTCACCATCCCATAATACGAAGCCCAGACTCACACACTAAAGCAGCACAGAATCTGAAAAATAAAAAAGAATATAAGTTTTTTATATATGCAGAATATAAAAAATATAAAACCTGAGGCATCATGGCTCCTGCAGGAGAGCCCTGGAGGGGCTGGAGCGTGTCCAGGGCAGGGAACGGAGCTGGGAAGGGGCTGGAGCCCCAGGAGGGGCTGAGGGAGCTGGGCAGGGGCTGGGGCTGGAGCAAAGGAGGCTCAGGGGCCCTTGTGGCTCTGCACAAGTCCCTGCCAGGAGGGCACAGCCGGGGGGGTCGGGCTCTGCTCCCAGGGACAGGGACAGGAGCAGAGGGAACGGCCTCAGGCTGGGCCAGGGCAGGCTCAGCTTGGACAGCAGCAGCAATTTGCCCATGGCAAGGGAGCTCAGGCCTTGGCAGGGGCTGCCCAGGGAGCTTTGCAGTGCCCAGCCCTGCAGGTGTCCCCTGCAGGTGGCACTGAGTGCTCTGGGCTGGGGACAAGGTGCCCATGGGGCACAGCTGGCACTCCATGGGCTGGCAGGGCTTTGCCAGCTCCTCCAGGGATTTTGGGACTCTGGCATTTCCTGAGGTTTGTTCCTGTCCCTTTCACCTCCATCCTCTCTTGGGAGCTGTCACAGCCAGGCGGGGTCGGGCTGTGCTCCAGGGAATAGGGACAGGACAGAATGGCATCGAGGTCAGGCAGGGCAGGTTTTAATGGGATATCTGGATGATTTTCTCCACTGAAAGGACGGCTAATCCTTGGAAGAAGCTGCCCGGGGACGCGATGGAGTCACCATCTCTGCGAGCGCTCCAGAGCCGTCCGAACCCTCGCTGCGAGGTTCGCAGGTACCGAGGGCACCGGGCGCTGCCGCCCCCTCTCCCCCTCAGAGCCCCCGGCGCCTCCCGCGCCTGCTCCGGCGCTGAGGGCGGGGCCGCGCAGGCGCGGGCGGCGGCCATGGCGACCTTCTTCGGAGAGGTGGTGGTGGCCCCGTCCCGGGCCGGCCTGGACGAGGAGGAGGAGGCGCGGGAGGAGACGCCCGAGGACCGGGAGATCCGCAGGGAGATCGAGAAGAAAAGGTTCCAACAGCGCGGGGAGATCAGGGAAAGGTTCTTCCCCCAGAGCGTGCTGGCACTGCCCAGGCTGCCCAGGGAATGGGCACGGCCCCGGGGCTGCCAGAGCTCCTTGGGCAGCGCTGCCAGGGATGCCCAGGGTGGGATTGCTGGGGATCTATACAGGGCCAGGAGCTGGGTTTGGATGGCCCTTGTGGGTCCCTCCCAGCCCGGGCTGTTCTGTGTTGTTTTCCCAGGGAGATCCAAGTGCTGTGGAGCTGCGCCGAGGAGTCCCTGGTGTGCTCCAGGTTCATCGTGGCCATCGGGAGGAACGCTGCGGGTGCGTGCGGAACCAGAGCTGCTGGGGCTGGGGGATAAATGGGGAGACAGAAGGTGGCAGGGAGGTGTAAATATGCCAGGACATTCCCTGCTCCAAGCCCCAATTGGGGTTGTAAATGTGCCAGGACATTCCCTGCTCCAAGCCCCTGTGTCCAACCCGGCCTTGGGCACTGCCAGGCCAGGGATCCAGGGGCAGCCACAGCTGCTGTGCCAGGGCCTCCCCACCCTCGCAAGGAATAATTTATCCCTCCCAAAATCCCATCCAACCCTGCCCTCCTTGAGCTGAGCTCATCCCCCCCTTGTCCTGTCATCCCATTACCTTTTGAAAAATCCCCCTCCAGCCTTCTTTAAGCCCCTCTATTTACTGAATGAGCAGCTCCTCCTTTAGCAGCACAGGTTAAACCTGGAGGCAACTGAGTTGTCCAGAGAAAGCTGAAGTTCCTCTGTGCATGTAAAACACAGTTATTGTTACAGCTGTTTACTCATCTTGAAAATTGATGTATTTTCAGTTGAACACGAGAAGTGAAGTATGTTTTAGTTTGGGATTTTAGTTAGGACAATCTCCCCTTTACCTGGCTTTTGTTTGGTAAACTCTCTGGGATTGTTTATTAATTGGCAAAAGTTTTGATCTGATAGTACCCAGAAGTCTTGCTTGCATTTAAGTGACATTTAGATGACATTTAGATTTTATCAAAGTTAACTTTGCTGATTTGTTTGGGTTTTGTTCAGGTTTTTCCTTGAAAAATGGCAGTAGATATTTTGGATCTGTCTTCTGTAGCTTTTGACAGGAATCTGATTTATGAACATTTTTGCCACACTCTTGCCTCTGTTTTTTCTAGAATCAGTGTAATAGTTCTGCCTTGCTGCTTCAGTGAGTTTTGGTTTAAATCTGCTATGTCAGAAAATATTAGAGACTTAATATCTCACATCCTTAATTAATACTAAACAATTTGAAGTTGATTGCAATGCTATAACAATAATGTAATGCTATTACTTGTTCCTAAGAACAAGTGATTTTTGTGTTAGGGATCTGTATGTGTTAAGCATCTCTTAATCTTTTTAAATTTGAGTACAGCAGGGTTATCACATTGCTGTTGTTTCTTAGATTTGGTCAGTAAATCTATGTTGATAAAAATGAGTTATTCTTCCTTCAGATTGCAAAGGAATAATCTAATTTAGTCCAGCTATTTATTTGTAAAACAGAGGTTTTATTCTTTATAAATTAACTGTATTTTAATGGGTTTTACAGCTTTCCTGTCATCTTTTATCCTGGATTCTGTGTGCTGGGAAGTGATTGGAGTTGTGAAGCTGTGGAATGAGTGGTGCAGAACATCCAGCAGCACAAATGTCCTCCCCACAGACTCTTTCTGTTTGTTCTACAGATTGATATCAGACCCCACAGTAAGTGAGCATTAATTCCTCTGTGATTTGGCTTTCTGAAAAAGAGAAACTTCATCCACCCCCAGACAAGGCACTGTAGGATCATGGATTAATCTCATCAGTGATCTGAAGGGTTAAATCTCACTAAAACTGTGTGAAGTTCTGTCTGGAGCTCAGCACAGACATGTCACAGCCTCGTGGCTTCACTGCATTTGTGAGCAAAAAATCCTCATTGAAACAGAGTTAGAGCAACCCAAAATAACTGAACAATTTATTGTCTGCAGCCACATCATCCTTACAGGTGATGATGAGCTGCTGTTGTGCCCTTTAAACCACTTGCTCACACAAGTTTTTACCTTTTTTTAGGTTTTATTGTGCCAGTGTAGTTGCTATGTGGCTGAGGATCAACAGTTCCAGTGGCTTGAGAAGGTAAAACTGACAAGAAAATAAATGGAGAAATAAAATCCTGAGGGTGGGCATCTTTTCTCTGATACTTTACCCATGTCAGTGTTAAATAAGTTTCCCCTGTGGTTTTCTTTTATTAAATATTCAAACATAGATAAATTTACTCTCTGCAGGATCTGTGAAATCCCTTTCCAGATGCTGCCAGCTGTATCTGCTGTAAGCTCCCAGCTGAGTGCAGTCACTCCTTTTGGACAGTTTCAGTTTTGTTTGCCCTTAACCACTTCCCAAACCTTTTTCCTGCTTGCCTTTAATTTCCCTTGCCTTATTTCAGCTGCATTTCACCTCTGGGAGAATTTTTCCTTCAAAAAAAAAAAAACAAAAAACCAACAGCAATTTGTCCAGCTGCCAAAGGATCACCAGCCAAACCAGTTGTGGAGCTGCTGGTGGATGGTGTCAGCTGCTGGGTGTGTTCTGTGCCTTTCCCAGGGGGGAGCTGGAGGGAAAGGTGCCTCCCAAGCAGCATTTGTCCCATTTCTGCCCACATTTAACATTCCCAGGGCCTCACCCCAGCATCATCCAGCTACAGCAGCACTGCTGGCTCAGGGAAGTCCCTCCAAATGTCATCATTTGGATTTTAATAAGATAAAGCCAAGGGGTGAATGTTCCTCCTCTTGATTTTCCTGATGGATTTGGGTCAGTGCTTTGCCTGCAGGAAGTGTGGCTTATTTTGTCCTGCTGTCTGTCTGCTCCCTCCCTGCCTGCCTGCCTTTAAATCTCTGCTGAGCTGATGGAGCAGCAGGGATTCTAAAGCTGGGCTTGCAGATAAGTACAGCTTTGCTGGGGGCTCATGGCTCATTTGGAGGTTTAAAAACCCTGGGACCTCAGATGTTTTGCTGTATTCCACACATTCCTGCACTTCATCTAAAGTGGGGTTGCAGAATTAGGATGGCTGGGGGTTGTTCTCTTCCCCAGTTGTTTGTGGATATGTGGGTGTTCCTGAACAGCAGCAGTGTGGTTGTACCAAGTCCATGTTCCTGAGTATTTTTAGATTTTTGTGGTTGTTGGTATTTTTAAATGTGCAGCAGAAACAACGTGCTGGCAATCTTTTTTGCTTTTCATGTGAGTTGCAGCCCTGTTCTGTGTGTAAATCCTGATTTCCTGAGCATCTCCCATCTCCACAAGTCAGATCTTTACATCTGGGTGGGTTTTCTCCCTAAGGATCACTGACAAACCAGAGCACACAGGTTGGAGTTTTGCAGCCACGAATTCCAGCCTGTGTTCCCAGCCAAGCAAGTGGAAAATATGTGGGCTTCTGAATATTGCTGTCAGATTTCTGTCACAGTGGTGACACAGTGAGGGCACAGGCAGCTTCCCTCCTGGGGCTGGTGCACAGACAGAAACAGGCAACTTTCTGTCACAGTTCCCAAATTCTCTATTTTCTATTCCCTTGTTGGTATTTTGTGATGGCCAGAAGGTTTTGTACTTCAAAACTCTGTTCTTTGGATATGAGAAAGAGAAGCCTAAATTTTCTTTCTCAGTTCAACCTGAATAGAATGAAATAAAATCTGTGCATTTAAAATAAAGTCTCTTACAATATTGTAGACATCTGGGGAACACAATTTTAATTCCAAATGTCATACAGCTCAGTGAACTGCTTGTTTTTATTTGGAATCCTTCTTCTTTCTACAATCACCATTAATTAAAGTAGTAAATCTTAATATATTGAATACAAAGAGCTGAAAACCTAAAACCTCTCCAGAAGAGCACTGGACTTGGTAAATATGTCAGCTGTTATTTTGGGGTTTTTCTCTCCATCCCAGGAGCAATGCCTGACAAATTTCTAGCTGAAGGTTGTGATTCAAACTAGTTTTGGTCCTGCAAACCTGAGTTCAAGTGCCCTTTGCACTGAAATTGAAATGAATCCTTGAGGTTCCTCTGCTTTTATTGTGAGAACTTCTGCTGATGCATTTTTTTTTTTTTAATTTCAGGTTTTTGGCTCTATGCAGAAGAAAGGCTTGCAAGTCACCATCCTTTCCACATGTCCTGTAGCTGATTATAAAACTCAGGAATCCACTCTGACACTTGTATCTCCATTCCTGAAAGCCTTGAAGACCAAAGAATTCCAGGAGCAGGTCTGCTGCCCACTGCTGGAGCAGCCCAACATTGTGAGGGACCTTCCTGCTGCTGGTACTTTGCAATTTCAATTCTTTCCACAATTCCTCCTGAGGAGCCTCCCTCTGCAGTTAGAATTTTTGCTTAATTGTGAAAAGCTGAAAATTCAGCTTTTTAAAAATTAATTACTGACAGATTCACATCTTACACGTTGCCCTAGAAAATAGGGACAATTTTCCAAACCAGCCACAAATCATTTGACCAGTTATGTGTGGGACAGAAGTACTGGGAAATTCCCCAGCATAGCCTTACAAAGTGGGTTTTTTTTGGGAATTTTACTTAGTAATTAAATAAGTTTTATTAGGAATTATTTTCAAGAGTAAAAGTAAAAGCTCACCAAGTCCTTTCTGTATATAACAGGTCAGGGAGCTTGCACAGATGCACTGATCAACCTCATGGAAAAGTTAGGTTCAGTTTTATGATGTGATTTAATAAAAACCTTGAGCTTTTCATTCTAGAATTCCTAATGGTGGCAGCATGAGGAAAAGCTTGTGTTAGGGATCTGTATATGTTAAGCATCTCTTAATCTTTTTAAATATTTTTAAAGTCTGGCAGGAGTTAAAAGTGGATGATTCTCTCTTACTGACCTTCCTTTTTATGTTTTTTTTTTTTTAATTGGGGTATTTTTTGGGGGGGGTTGTTTGTTTTTTTGCAGATGTTGCTATTATTTTAATTTATTTTATTTTTTTTATTTATTAAATATTTAATAAAATATTTTATTGTTTTTATTTCTTATTTGAATTTTAATTTTATTTATTTTTTTTTATGGACAGTTTCCAGGTAAGGTATGTGCCAGGAAAAAACACCTGCATTTAACTAATTTTTAGTTTTAACTAATTTTCCTTGGGGGATGAGGAGTGGCTGCTCCAGCAGTCAGCATCCTGGGCTGGTAATTAAACTCCCCTGGGTTCAAAATTCAGATTTTTACACACAGAGCAGAGATTGCCTTTGTGCAGAGTTTAACAGAGGTTTCCTTTTGCCTGTGTCAGTCCTGAGTTACTGCCAGGTGTGGGGGATCCCTGCCGTGCTGTACCAGTGCTACACTGATGTCATCAAGCTGGACACAGTCACCATTGAAGCCTTCAAACCTCTGCTCTCTTCCAAACTCCTGAAGAGTTTAGCCAAGGTAAAATTCCATTTTTTAAAAATAATGGCAGCTCTTGTCTGTTTTCATCTCTTGCATTCTGCTGGTTTTGTTCCCCTGTGGGGATTGCAATCTACAGCTTCCTTCAGATCTTCCTTTTGAATTTTCAGGCTCTTCTAATGGTATGAATATATCAGGTAGGAGTTTCTTGTTCTTGTGTAAGCTGCAGTTTCCTTTGGAGGTGCCTCATTTAAAACTTGAAGCTTTTTGTTGTGTGTTTTTGTATTATTTTTACATTTTCTATTCAGATACCAGATGGCTCTGTTCTAGCTCTGTATCTGCCTCTCTTCTGGCATACAGGAAAGCTTCTCAAAATAACCCATTTTGACCTATCACTTCTTTTTGGAGCTAAAAGGCCAAATTTCTGAAGACATTTTTACACTGATCAGCAGCTGTGAAATCCAGCCTGGCCTTGAACACTTCCAGGGATGGGGCAGCCACAATTCCTGTGTGCCACCACCCTCAGAGTAAATCCCATTGCTCCCATCAATTCCCACTGCAGCTCCTAAAATCAAGGTTTTACTCTTTCTGAAGTGTTTTTAATTGAATTCTGGTTGGTTGAGAACACTTTGAACCCAGATTTAAATGCCCAAAGAGGTCTGTGTATACTGAGGTGTTTATTTCAGTTCTAAAATCAGTTTTGAGTGCAGCTCATTTTATATTCTGCTGAATAAGTCTGAGTAAGACGTAAATATTGAAACTCTGAAGGAGAACAATGACAGAGACTCTTCCCCTCATGTCCAAGCAAAGAGGAAGGCAAAATAATAAATCCCATTTTCTTGCTGCACTGCAGATTCCTGTAGATAACTTCATTCAGAAGACCTGAGTTTTGCTCAGATATATTATATTATATTATATTATATTATATTATATTATATTATATTATATTATATTATATTATATTATATTATGTTATGTTATGTTATGTTATGTTATGTTATGTTATGTATTATATTATATTATATTATATATATTATATTACTATATACTATATTATAATATAATATATAATGTTATATTATATTATATTTTGTATATTTTATATAATACATATTATAATATTAATATATATTATAATATTAATATATAATATAATTATATTTTGTATATTTTATATAATACATATTATAATATTAATATATAATATAATTATATATAATATAATAATATAATATATATTTCATATTATATTCTATATTATGAATTATTATATATTATAAATTATTATAAAATTTTATAATATAATATATATTATATAATGTAATCTGTGATGTTAATATATTTAATCTAATTAAATAAGAGATATTTAATTATAATATGTAATAAAAGTTAGTTAATATCTTAATAAAAGTGATGTTAATATCTTTAATTAAATAACAGATAATTATTTAATTAGAATATATAATAAAAGGTAATTAATATCCTTATAAAAGCGATGTTCAGAGTAATGAAAATGGGACCAGAGGCCAGGGGAGCTCCTGCTTTGTTCCCAGCTCTGTGGGTGATGCTGATCCTCTCTTCCTTTCCCCAGGATGCCTCTGAAAGCACAAAGATTTTGAAGAAGTTCCTGACAAGCAGTGAAACCCACAATAACATCTACATCTGACAAGGACAGTTGTGCTGCACTTTTGTAAACTCCAGTTTCTTCTCTAGAGGACTCCTGGGATTTTATTTTATTTTCCTTTAAAAGTAGAATAAATTCTGGTAGATTTTTACTTTCCCACTCATTTTTGTTGTTTTTAACTTCATCACTGAACACCCTTCTGCATGGCTTGGAAGATTCTTCTGGAATGATTTTAGGAAAGATTTTGGATATGAAAAACAACTCCTTTTTCTTCTTCTGAAGGGATTGTCCTACCTAAAAGTATTCCTTTTATATTTCAAAGAGGAAAATGCAGATAAGGAATTCTGTTTGTATCTAACAAGACCTCTCCCTTTTTTACTTTCTTTTGAGATCTGAAGGTTTTTCTAGCATTTGATGCTCTTCAAAGATTTGTCTGTGATCAAGAAAATGCACTCTCTGTCCTTTCCCATCCACAGAGAATTTTGCTTGTGTTTATTTATGGCTCCACACGCCCTTTGTAGTGTATATATTGATACAAAATGCAGTAATTAAAGTGTGGTAAATGCCTTTAAAACTTGCTGGTGAAAAATAACCTCTCCTGGTCAAAGGGGCTGGCAGGAGCACAGGCTCCTGCAGCTGGATTTGCCAGGGCAAAATGATTTAATTCACTTTAAACCACCAAAATTTGGGCAATGGTAGGAAGAATAAAAGATCTCTTAGGCAGAGAATGTGATTTTTAGAGGAAAGTAAAAGGTTTTAAAGTGTCTCAGAAAATACTCTGGAAGCTGGTAACAATTTCAGCAGTTTATTTCAAGTATTAACTAGGGTTGAGGTGCAGTTCTGAGTTGTCCTCTGTTTAATTTAACATTTTGTTTAAGAAAACGGTGTTAAAGTTTTAATTTGTAATTCTGTTCTCTGCTGGGTGCAGCTTTGATTTACACTGGATGCTCAGTGGGTATTTCTGAGCAGTGTTTGCCTTCTCAGAACTGTCACAGATTTAAATTTCAGTTCAGGTAATTACAGATAAGCACATCTTGCCTAAAGCGGTGCTGGATTTTGGAACAAATTCTGAAGCTTTGTTGGGGTTTTCCCCCCATTTCTGTCCATCTTTTTCATTCATAAATTGGTTTTATGTGTGATCTGAGCTGAGAATTCTGTTCTTTTGAAAATTGGCTGCAGCATTTTCTTTCTTCTTTCTTTTTCGTGTTTGGTTCATAATAAATAAAGCAGATAACAAGAAATATCTTAAATAGTAAATTATGCAGAGACCCTTAGAGGAATTGTGAATGTATTTCTGGTGTTGGTGTGGTCACCCAGGCAGTTTGAAATGTTTCAAAACAGTTACTACATTATATTTAATGCAGTTTTTACTACCTGTCTTTATGCTGGGGTGTGAGAATGCTCCTAAACACCTTGAATAAAAGTGGCAAACAAAACCATGGCAGCTTGGGAGATGAAATCAGACTGAAACCTGGAGTTCTGGCAGAATTCCTCAAAATGGAAAACCTGAAAGCTCTCCATAGCAGGAAATGTTTGGGTAGGATGTAGTGGGGAGGTGCTGTGGGGCAGTGAAATGAGAGATTTTAATTTAAAACTCTGCCTTTTCCCATAATTTGCTGTAGGAAGCAGCTCCTATTCACCCCTTAAATATTCTGTAAGCCTCAGAACTAATGATGAACTGTCTTTCATCAGATGTGAGTGTTGACTGAAGATTTTTTTTTCCATATTTGAATGTTGCTGCCTGGTTTTTATTTTCCCTTCTGTGCTCTCCAGCATCTACCCAGGGCCTGCAGTGAGGCTCTCCTGTTTCCTACCAGCTGCTGGCTGTGATCCTTGGAGGGGTTTGTGAACTCAGACTTGTCAAATGTGGCAGATGGCTTCAGAGCTTCGGGGGGAGAAGTTTGAAATGAGATTGTGTAAGACTTGGTTTCCTGAGGTAATTGTTAAATGCAAATTGTGAAACCACAGTGAGCTGTGAGACTGGAAGAGGGGTTTTTATCCCACTTTTTCAAGTCATTTAAGCCACTTATTGCCTTTTTTATAGATAAGACTGATCTGTCTTCTGCTGAATGTCTTCCAAACCAAGGGCTCTTCCCTTGCTCTGCTTTGTCACCTTGCAGGATTTATTTGGTGGGCAGAGGTGTTTCCAGTCCTGAAGGTGTTGGGCTCTGCAGCTGGGGACTCAGCTGAGCAGGGCACAGGACACAATCCCAATCCCTTTCCCTGCTGTGATGCAGACAGGATTCACATCATCCCCACTCCTCATCTCACTGCACAGCTCCAGGAAATGAATTCTTCCTAAGATTCCATGGACTCTGCCCTGCAAAGTGCTTTGTTGCCAAAGCTGCAGAGGAACAACATCACTTCTAACATCTAATTCTACAATTTTTGTGCCAAAAAAAATGAAAAAGGCAAGTATTTTGTTCTACCTCATTCTTTCTGATTTAACATTCTGGTTGGTGTCTAAAAACCTGACAGATCTAAATGAGCTAAAAACAAAATGAAAGTCAAAGAGATTCACGATTTTACTTTTTTTTTTTTTTTTTGCTGCCATCAAATCTGCACTTTTTTTTTTCCCCTTTAAATATTTTGAACTGAAAGTTTGCACAGCTGCTGCACAGAGCACCTACAGGCATCTCCTTGAGCCAAGTGAGATCACAGCTCTGAGGTCAGGCTTTTTTACTTGAGGGAAAACACTGAGATCCTGTTGAGAGCTCTCCCAGAGCAGAGGTACCTGAGAATTCTTTTATTAAGGATTCCATGCAGTAAATACTGCTGGAAACCTTTCACTCACAGGAATAAAAATGCAAAGCTCTCATTTCACTTTGCTATCAGGGCATCCTGAGATGAAGGAAGGCCACAGACCCCAAACTCTCTGTGTGCAAAAAGGTTAAAGCCAAGTTTTTTCCTTCCAAACAATTGGATAACTAAATGTTTAAAAGTTCTTTGAATGGGAAATTTGGGCCATTGCTTAAAAGTAGGAAATGTTTCATGAGAATAGTGTTGCACCTTCAAAGGACAATTTCACATAAAGCATTTATTGAGGAGACCACAGGTTCTTCCCCTGTGTTTGAATCAGAGAATTCCAACATGCTTTCATTCACTGGAAACTCCACATTTCATGTTCAGCATTGATGTTTTAATTCTTCTTTTAGGTTTGACATGGATCCCTTTTCATTAGAAATGAAAGCAGCCTTTTTTCAGTCAGTTCCAGAGACCTTAAAGCTGCTTCATGGGGAATTAACAAAGGGGGAGATGAGAAATAATAATAATAAAAATAATAGAGTCCCAATCACTGAAGGCAGCAGTTTGATTACTGAACAGATGAACAGTGAAGGTACAGCCTCATTAAATTTAAAGAAAAAAACCCAAAGCAAACCTGTGGGAGGAGAACAGCCACTGTGGAAAGGTGAGAGCACAGCAGAGAAAACCTCAGCATCCATCATCCTGTAAAATTAGGGCTTGAAAGTTCCCTTTGTGGGAACTGCTTTGGGTTTGCTGTTCCCTTTGTGCTGCCCCTCTGAACTCCCTTCCAAAGAGGGATGATAAAGACATTTTTGTGCAGAATAAGCACAGTGAGAAGTGCAGAATGCTCTGCCTGGCCAATTCCACCCTTCAGCCCTGGAGGACACTTGCAAGAAGCCCTGTGGGTGCTGTCAGAAACGAGCCAGTGTTTTGTTCATTCCTCAGAAGGTGCTGGTGCAGAACTGTTTCCTTCCACCTGAATCTGGAATTCAGGCAGCCCACTGGAGCTCCATCAGGGTGCTCTGGGTTTTTTCCAAGTGGCAGGAAATAATTTGGGATAACTTGGTAATGCCATGTGTCAGGAAATGCTCTGCAACAGAGGATTCTGTGCCTGACCTTGGAATTTCCACTTCTTTATGTTCTTCCACTTCCTATCAGAGTGTGTGTATAGAGGAAAATTTACTTTTAACAACTATTAAAATCTAGTAGCTGTTTTTTAGCAAAAGATAGTCTGTGAGGGTTTTATAAATAACCTTGTTCCAGGTATTGTGGAAGGCACATTTTCTATCTTTATGGACAGGAACTTCACCTCCTGCAAGGCTTGTGGTAGAGATTTTGCATTTAAACCCAAATAAGAATCCCCACATTCCCCAGCTGATACCCTGCCTGGCAAGGGCAGGAATTCTGGTGGTGCAGCTTTGTCTGAGCATAAAGTTCAGTGAAGATTTTGTTGGTTCTAGCAATTCTTGCAAGAGTTTCTTCACAGAAGAGGATATTTAACAAGAGAATATTGTTAAATATTGTCAGGGCTGCCCAGGGAGGTTTGGAGTCCCCATCCCTGGAGGTGGCACTGAGTGCTCTGGGCTGGGGACAAGGTGGGGATGGGGCACAGCTGGGACTCGATCTTGGAGGGCTTTTCCAACCCAAATCATTCTGCAAATGCTCCATTTTGTGTCCTACTGGACAATAATCCTATTATTTGCTTTCCTGAGCATCCCAGTATGGAGCTGACTGAGGTCAGGCACTCAAAGCTGCAGGTTGGTGTCACAGACATCTTTTATGAAAAATCCTTTCCTTTGGATTTTTCCTCCTGAGAAGCTGAGAGGCCTCAGGAACAAAATGTAACCAATGGTTATCTGCTGCTGTGGAATGCAACAGGTGCATCTGGGATTGGTCTCATGGGGTTGTTTCTAATTAATGGCCAATCACAGTCCAGCTGTCTCAGACTCTCTGTCCTAGACAGAAGCTTTTGTTATTCATTCCTTCTTTTTCTATTCTTAGCCAGCCTTCTGATGAAATCCTTTCTTCTATTCTTTTAGAATAGTTTTAATATAATAGCTATCATAAAATAATAAATCAGCCTTCTGAACCATGGAGTCAGATCCTGGTCTCTTCCCTCATCCTCGGACCCCTGTGAACACGGTCACAAGTTGGTTTGCCCTGTGGTGCCCATTTGTGGCCATGAGGTTTTCCAAGGCTCATGTAAATTTTATTTTTTTCACTAACTTTTTCAGTTTAATAATTGTCTGAGAAAAATCTGGGCAAAAATAATACCTCGGTGCTGGAGGGCAAATTTAGTATCAGCTCAGTTTTGAGATGGTTTTTGAATCTATTCTGGTTCAGGCTCAGCTGTTTCTGGATCTTACTCAAATTAAAGCAGTAAATCTTGTACTTCACAGAATCCCAGAATGGTTTGGGTTGGAAGGGACCTTAAAGTTCATCCCATAGGCTTGGGCACCTTCCACTGTCCCAGGCTGCTCCCAGCCCCAGTGTCCAACCTGGCCTTGGGCACTGCCAGGGATCCAGGGGCAGCCCCAGCAGCTCTGGGAATTCCATCCCAGCCCCTGCCCACCTTCCTAGGGCTGAATTTTTTCCCCAGTATCCCACCTAACCCTAGAATCTTTCAGTGTGAAGCCATTCCCTGGGTGCTGTCCCTGCATGCCCTGGAAATTGTCTCTCTGCAGCTTTCCTGGGGCTCCTGCAGGCCCTGCAAGGCCACCCTGAGCTCAGCCCAAAGCTTCTCCTGTGCAGGTGAACAATCCCAGCTGTGCCAGCCTTTCCTCCCAGCAGAGCTGCTCCATCCCTCTGCCCATCCTGGAGCCTCCTCAGACCTGGGGAGCTCAGGTGGTGCTTTAGGTGCTTCTTGAAGTAGTGGCATCCCCCTCTGCTCCAGAGGGAATTGCTGCAGGAACTTCTCCCTTGCAGCAACACAGCGAGTGCCTCCCTTAAACAAGAGTTTCTGTGCTAAATCTCACTCTCTGTGCTCTCCAGAGCAGCCCAGCAGAACCACAGGCTGCAGAAATGGGGTTTCCTGCTGCCTGTCCATGTCCTTCCTTCCAGCTGGGACCCAAATTCCCAGAGCTCTGCACCACTGAGTGTGACAGCGCTCACAGGGGTCCGAGGATGAGGGAAGAGACCAGGATCTGACTCCATATTTCAGAAGGCTGATTTATTATTTTATGATAGATATTATATTAAAACTATACTGAAAGAATAGAAGAAAGGATTTCATCAGAAGGCTAGCTAAGAATAGAAAAAGAAGGAATGATAACAAAAGCTTCTGTCTAGGACAGAGAGTCTGAGCCAGCTGACTGTGATTGGCCATTAATTAGAAACAACCACATGAGACCAATCCCAGATGCACCTGTTGCATTCCACAGCAGCAGATAACCATTGGTTACATTTTGTTCCTGAGGCCTCTCAGCTCCTCAGGAGGAAAAAACCTAAGGAAAGGATTTTCCAGAAAATATCATGGCTACAACTGAGCACTGCAGGCTCCCCTGCATGCCTGACCCAGCACCTCAAAACAGGAATAAATACTGAGTGTTACCAGTGAGGAGCAAGCAGGGCTTTTAAATATAATTTTTATTTAATTTTCCCTCATTTAATTTTCACTTTTTGAACAAAGACACAGCACCAGCTGTTTGGCTCTGTGTGCCTCAGCCTTCACTCTGCACTGCAGAGTGTGCTCACAGCCAGATGTTAAAATTCAGCTCCCTTGGAGGAGGTCTTGACTTAATCAGCGTGGGGCAGAGAAAGTAATGCTGTAATGCTGATAGAAAAGGTCACTTGTCTGAGAGGAGAGCAGCCTGCCCTGGCTTTTCCATCCCCTGCACCCCGGGGGTGCTGGGGCTGCAGCTGCCTGGGCTGTAATGTTTGGGAAGTGCCTTTGATTTTGGGACTTGCAGGGAGCCAGCCTGGTGTTGACATGTGGCTTCCAGACCCTCAAATCCAATGCACGTTATGAAAATGCCTGAGTGT